ATATTTTTACATTAATAGTAATCACTTATCAGATTCATAATACCTAATATTACGATTCATATCAGTGGCGTAGTCAGGATTTCTCTATGGGTGGAGTGAGGCTTGATAATGTGTTTACACCTCGGCTTACACAAAGTTGAACATACTAATACCGAGGTTTTATTTTAGGGTTTAGTTCCTGTACAGCTATACAAATTTGTATTTGCAGTAACTTTAATAGACCAAAGAAATGTTTTTAATTTTCTTGAAATTTCGGGAAGGGTATCTCCATTAAATTAAAACACCTAATTTTTTTTTTAATTAAGTACAAAAATTATATTTCATATTCTAAGAGTAGTTTGTTATCTTCCATCTAAACCACAGACTACCTATTTCTCCCAATATTTTTTAAATATGAAATTCTTTTGTTTAATGTCTGAATTTTTTTAATCCATAAAAAATTTCGAAATATTTTCACAGATATAATAAAATAGATGTATATTTTTGGCCATTGTATATTTGAAATAATAAAAATTAGATAATATTAAAATAAAATAAAAATAATAAGTGATGTTTAAAACAAATATTATAATAATTAATTACTTGGACTATTAAGATAAAATTCTTATACAATCTAACAATATGCACATTGAGTGAAGCTTTTATATCAAAAATTCAACTGTTATTTTATGTCTTTAGACAAAAAAAATAATCTCTTACTAAACAAATAATTTTGTAAAAAATATAGGAGGGGATAATGTCCGATTTCACTGAAAATAGACCCCGTCTGTCCATTCACCCTTCCACAATTCCATCTGTATTGATGTTACAAATTAAACATAATAAAACTATTGTTCAACAATAGGTGTGTAACTTATTTTATTTAGATTATCTAAAACGAAATGCTCCGTAACTACTAACAATATACAGTCAGACAACTCAGTGAACAACTGGAATTACAACAAGTAAACTAAAATGAGCTCACTTCCGATCTATATAAAAATAAACCAGTTGACAGAGGTACAGACGGGTCGTCTCCAAAGGAAACTCGATTTTGTTCTGACTCCAGAACCATTAATATTAAATTCTGTGGTGGAACTCTTCTTATGGTGTACAATAACATGACTCATATGAACAACTTTCTAATCAGTTCAAATGACAATAAATCCATTTTAAATGCCCACAATTAATATTTAATTCTATTGATAAAAAAAATCTATAATTTTATATTCAATTATATTACCAATAATCGAGTCTATAATAATATTATAATTAACATAATAGTTTTATTTGCCCATAAAATATCAACTAAAGGATGTGCAATTAATAATACCTAATTGATCACATAAACATAAGTCATAAATAGGAAAAGATAATTCATAAAATGTTAAACATTCATTGAGTGAATCACCCACTTCAGTTTCAATACTACTTTAAAAATGTTTATACACATATTTGTATAGGTATTTTAAGTTTTTACATAATACTTCAAAGAACTAAGCTACTAGAAAGCTTTCAATCCAAATATTGTATAAATCATTATCATCAACTTTCAAAACTTAAAATATAAGAAAATTTAAAATTTAAGTCTATTTAACTTTTGATCAAAATTACAAATAACCAAGTCATATTTTAAAATAATATTATGACTATACTGAATAGTGTGTAATTGTTGAATAAACCATTTGCATGCTTCATTTAACTAAAATAATATAACACTATTAAGTAACCAAAGCTATACTACCTAACAAACCACATAGAAACATGCATAAACATTAAATTAGTTATTCAATTAAATGTCAAGAATAAATGAACAGTTGATAGGTGCCCACATCAAATAAAAAGTTAATTGAGCATGACCAAGTATGTCAATTGCATACTATTTTTCAACTAATTGAAAAAATATAATGATTTAGATGCTATTAATATATCTCAACTATAGAAACTTTTTAACCTTTAAAAATTATCAACATATATACCTAGTTATATATAATTTATTTAAGGTGCCAATTTTTTTTTAAATATTCATTAATGTGAGTACCTATCAACTGTAATTATAATATGTATTTTGTTGTTTTACCTTCGGTAACAATGAATAAAATTAAATATTCAACAGTATTTATAATGACAAGCAGACAAAAGTATAGATTAATGAGTTATTACCTACCTACAATATAAACCTGATCATATATTCAAAATTAATAAGTTAAAATACCCATAGGTACCAAAATGCTTATTCAACTTCAATACTATAAGATATTATATGAACCTAATATAAATTAATAAGTTTAGGTAAAACATAACATGAATTCAATGAAGTTATTAGTTAATGCAGTTATTTTTCAAACTCATTTATCTAACTCATTAACTATATACCTAGGTAGGTAATAATATGTTAATGACAATAAATAATGAATTATCTATAAAGGTACATACATACATTATTATTTATTTATTTTATTGATATGTATATTTATGTATATTATACCTAATGCATTAACATTAATACTGATCATACTACCATGCATTTTAAATAGGAATTAAGATTATGGTAATTATGATAAACATGTGTTTACCTATTTCCAATTAATCATATATAATAATGACAAATAAAAACATTAAACAGGTACTTATTACCTACTATTAATCCATTTTTAATTTATTTATAAATACAAATTTGATTACTCTATTAAATTTTTGAAATTCCTACAATTCCTATCAAATGACATTGCAAATAAATCAATGTTTACACTAATAGGTAGGTACAATTTGGTGGAATATTTAGGTACCAACATTTTTTTATAGGGAGCAGACATAAAAATACAATTAAATCATATTGATAGCCAATACAATGATAAAATACAATTATTAGTCTTAAAAAAAAGAAGAGGCCATGTAGTTACACTATTTGCATAATTACTCCCCGTTTATAGTAGATACACCACTGTTACCAGTACAATATTAATTTATATTTGCATTAGTAGGTATACTCTGATACCTAATGTTTTTTTAGAATGTATTTTTTTTTAGTCACATCTCGTCAGTACTTTTGTACCTATCTAGATCAGCGTTACTTAAACTGTGTTCTGCAGAACCCAAGTGTTTTGTTTCAAAATTTTCAAGCAAATAACAAAATGCAAATTCACTCATCTCTTTAAAATTAAAATTTAGAAGTTCTGTCATTGTATGTTATTTAAAATATTTTTTGAATTAGATACGGAATAGGTATACACGCAATATCGTATGAAATTATTATAATTTTTTGTTTTAAAATAAATAATCCTTACATATAATGTTGCATTAAAACTATGGAATAAAAGTAGGGGTTATAATTGTAGAGCTGTAATAACTAATTGTTGAAAGCTAAAAAATGTAGGGGTTTTGCGATAAAAGTGGAGATAAAAAAGGGTTCCACGCATAAAAAAGTTTAAGAAATACTGATCTAGATCACTCAAAATTAAATCTAATTAATTAATACAAGTATTTATGTTTTTTCCTTTTGCAACATATACAGGGACAGTACAGCACCAAAAGGTGATTACGAGAATCGGAAACAAATGGTACCTAAACGGGAATATTATAATTATATTTTAAGCTCTGTGGATACCCACACACAAACGATAGCGATCCAGGTTGTAAAGGTAGTTAAAAGTTATAGTAAATTTATGGCGGTACTTACAGCTGCACGAATATTTCGGCGATAATTTCAGAAGCCAATGCACAACACGATCGGACCAAAAAAAAAAAAAAAAATCAAATAACAAAAAATGCAAAATAAGTACACAAATAAAAATCGACAAAAATGGTTTATGGGTAATTTGAAAGTTAACAACATAAACAACAAGTAACAACAACCGCCGCAACAGCAGCGACCACTACAACAATTGTTATTATGGGAAACAAATGATAATACGCGACGGGGAATCCGGCTTTCGTGCGACGAAAACGGACGGACGACACAGACGTGTTCTACGTGTTCACCTGAGGCAGCGTAGCGCGCAAAACACGTCGTCACCGACAATACTGCGTACACTGAGCACTGTCCGCCGAAACTCAGCCGACATAGCAGCGATTCACGGCGGTGGTGACGACGATCGTTTCGCGCGGACGTAGCGTCGTTTTCGTGCGCGAAAAACAACGGTTCGCCGGACGCGACAGTTTACTCACCGCTCCTCTGCATCTTGAGGCGATTGCGATCGGGAAACAACGGACGAGGAGAAGAATCGAACGAGACGACTGGAAAATGGGAGAAAAATTTTAAATTTTAAAAATCCGCACGTCACATTATCAACTATCAAATATTTACGACGGTCGGACGGTTGTACCGGGATGGACGGACACGGGACGCGGGACGAATGCGCGCCGTGAAACGACAACAACTTCGTTTTTTATTCTGTGGTTGAATAACCATGTGCGGGGAAGGTGGCGGTGCGATCATGGAAAAAATAAAAGGTTTTGTGGCGGGGAATCGGAATATCGATCGGCGGAATACGAAACTATTACTGCTATTACAGTCGCGATCGGATCGAATTTGTCACGGATCTATCTATGTCTATACAGCTTTCTTTATCGAGTATTGATCGTAATTCGAGATTCTCAAAGTAATAAGAATAATATTCTTCGCTACTCAAGATAATACTAATTTTATATGAAATTTTTTTTTTTTAGGTTAACAGGTAACTCGGTTGGGTAGTTTGGTAATCTGTGATAAAAAAATTTTACCGATAACGTTTTCGTCATGACAAAATATAATATAACATAGATAATAGTATAATAATATAAGGTACTCCATAGACAATTACTTTCCCGTGGTTTTCGTAATTTTTGCATATTGTATTTTGCATTCCGTATTCACTATTCACAATTAATTTTTTTTATTATCGTTGTGCTAAGTAATCACTGGCCACTGCTCATTCCTCAGGCAATTATTCTATTTTGTGATTACATCTTAGTCCGTGAAGTTGTCATTTCATTTCGGGATACCTAGTTTGAACTTAGAGAGTTCCAATTGTTTCGCCGATATGAACGGTTTGAGATTATTCAGACGGTTAGCCAGCTCTGTGTCGCGCTCCATCAAGAACGAACGTGCCATCGTTGTCACTGATGATGCGTCAACCATAGTGTGTTATCATCCAGAGAGTTCTTTCCCGTACGAGTGCACTAAACCACTACCAGTCAACAAAGTGCAGGACAACTCAGTGTTAAGAGTTCAAAACAAAGACTTTGTGCATGAAGTATTCAGCAAGCCCAATAATGAAATAGTGCAACAAGAACTTATGAAAATGACGTACACCACCAAACACCGTTGGGTGCCACCCAAAAAATGGAAAAGAAACTTTGCTCATCAAAAACTTGTAGACAGAGAATATTTATAATCTGATATAATTATGTTTATTGTTTTTAAAAGCAAACTAGGCTCATGTTTTTAGTATAAGAGTATACAATGTAAAATTGTTTTGTAATGATTTTTTTGAATAAAAATTGTATAATATCAAGGAATAAAATTATTGTGAGTTACAGAAAATGTTCTTTCTTCTTCTACTTCCAACTGTAACAGAAAAACATATTTTTATTATATTTTAATAATACAAATGAGTCATAAATCATAATTAGTAGTCTTATATGCAAATAGTCACCTTAGTAAGTCCGTTAAGGATGGTACAACTGGCGGAATAGTTTGACAAACTTTTGGTTGATTTGATGGTTTTTTAAGTTTTAAATTACGATGTTGTGGGAATGTAGGCATCAATTTAGGATCACACGCTAAAAATGTAAATTGTATCTTAAATAATATTTAGGAGGTGGTAAGCTATGAAAAATATATTGTTATATACAGTTAAAATTGTATATAATAACATAAACAATTATTATGTAAAATAATTACGCAATGGTGGTTCAACAAAGTAAGAGCTTTGTAGACATTCTTCAGCTGTTGCTCTTCTGCTCGGTTCATACATGAATAAAAAGTTCAAAAGACGAATCCCAGCGTCAGATAACCATGGAAATCTAAGTACAAAAAATGTATATTTTCTTTAGAATGTTAATATATATGAAAAATTAATTTGTGTATATTTGAGATGTTAAATACTTTGGTCTAATATTATTGTACGGTTGTGGTCTCAATGTAAAATTTTTCAGTGCTGGTAATGTGTCAATTTCAGGCCATATTGAAGAGTTGGGAGTGCCAAGAAGTTGACATATCAAATCAAGTTGATGTATCTCTGTACGACCAGGTAATAATGGCTTGTGAACTAAATTATAAGATAATTAAATAATAATCAATTATGTTCTGAAATAAAATAACAATAAGATAAATAGCGTACGCAAGAGCTCAGCAAAAATACATCCTGTTGCCCACATATCAATAGCTGTTGTTAACTTAGGAGATCCTAATAAGACTTCAGGAGCTCTGTACCAAAGTGTTACCACTTTGGCTGTCATTTTTTTTGGTGGCACACCAAAAAAACGAGCCAATCCGAAATCAGCTTAAAAACAGATAAAATAAATATTAATTCTTATAGCTATAGCTTATGTACATAATGTTCAGTTAATTTATATTTACCTATTTTTACACATCCTTTGTCTGTAATCAATAAATTAGATACCTTGAGATCACGATGAATAATGAAATTTGAATGCAAATACTTTAGTCCTTTCAGGAGCTGTAAAAATATACATTTTACTTGAGACTCAGTAAATGCAGTAGCCATGTTATCTAATAAGCTGGACAAATCATGTTCGCAATACTCCATAGACAGAAATATACTAAAAATAAATAAATTTTAAAACATATAATTAAAGTCAAAATATTATAATAATACAGATATGAGACAAAGACCAAACATTTTATAAATTGATAAATATAACATTATTGAGATCCTCTGTAAGATTATTCCCTCTAGAATACAGAGTGTAACAAAAAGACCTAACAAATTAAATAACTTTTGTTCTAATCAATATTTTTTATTTTTATAAGTATAGACACATTCACATAATATAGAAATATAGCGTAATATTTAATTTTAGATTCTGAGTGGAGCGATTAATGTATTGATTTTAGAATGATGTTTTTTTTTTGTTGTGTGTTTACACGATAATTAGTCTATATAATGCTTCGATTTCCAATTTGCGTACACCACTGCAAAAATCCTGAAATGTCTTCCTTTAACAAAAAATCTTATACATCACAATTTCAATACAATCAATCAATTGTTGGTAATTTTAATAGATTTTTAAATTGTTAAATATGACAAAGACGTCGATAATCGTAGTTTCAGTTTTCTGCCTAGTTTAGAACATTGCTAAACGTCTGCCATAATCGTCATATAGTGTATCATCGTCCATCGATTATTAGCATGGTAATTACCACCCGAAGAGGCTCTATAGATGATCAGGTGTCCAGGTTGAACATGTAGACTAAATTTGAGACTAACTATAATATTTTGTTATAACCAATTATACGTATAAAAACACTTTAGAAAAAGTTAATGTAAATTATTTACTCAGGTAAAAACCTAACCGAACTAAAATTTTGCGTACGCTACTGCATTAAGGATGCGTATTAAATTTTTAATTCTCAGTAGTATCTAAAAGCGCCGGGGAAAAAAATTGAAGAAAAATGGGAATTTTAGCACAAAATTGAATTTGGTTTTTGGTGTAACTCTAAAAAAGTTAACCGTAGGTAAATTAAATTTTAACTGAATATTTAAATTAGCAATTTCTATAGAACATATAATTTTGAGTCATGTTGAGCTATTTATAGGCATATAAAATTTTCACTCAGTCAAATACTTGAAAATGTAATATTAGATTCCTCGCGGAGTGGTTGTTAAAGGAAATTTTAAAAAAAGTTTGTTAGAATGTTAACAACATTTGTAAGTCACAAATATTTTAAAATTATTTTAAGTTGGAAATTCATAAAAATGCAATACATGATTCCTCATGAGTCATGAGTTTTGCTACCTTCATCATAAATAAAATATCTAACGACAAGTCAAATTAAATTTTTATAAGTTTTTAAGTTCAAATTTTACAACATTGACTATATTGAATAAAGTTATATTATGTGTGGCACTAGTCAATAAATTATATATAAAAATTAGGTTGAAAAATATTGATTAGAACAAAAGTTATTTCGTTTATCAGATCTTTCTGTTACATTCAATAAATAATTTAAAAAATTGCATAAACAACATAATTGTATTTATTATTATACTCATTTAATTTACTGATATGAGAAGTTGTAAATTAAATTTAATCAAATATCATTGTAACCATAATTGTTTTAATTTTAATAACAATTTTCATAGATATAATGTTTTGTTAATATCATTGTCAAACATTTTCTAACAGATTATTTCATTATAATATATGAATAAACATTTTTAAAAAATCAGTTTAAAAGATATTTTAACCAGACATTTTTGTCATAAGATATTTTGACTGAAGATATTATGACATGGAAGATGGAACCAGTAAATAGTGGTGGATTACCAGACAGAACTTGACATTTTTAATGTGGCTCAATAGTTGGAAAATGTTGGCGACACCTGGTATATGCAATACAATCATGTTTACTTAAATATTTACCTGTCTAAACTTCTGCCCACTAAAACTTCTTGTAGGCGAACAATATTCTCATGATCACATTTCAATAATAATGATATCTCACGAAGTGCACTCATTGGTAATCCTTCCTTTTCATTTTCCATACGAACTTTCTTCAATGCAACAATTTTTTCAACTGGTGATTTAGAATCCTTTGCACGATCTTATAAACAATTTAAAAGAAAATGCAATTAACTAACAAAATACAACGTAAAGTCTACTATTACTTTAACAGTCACCAAACTTGGTTACGATTAGTGTACCAAATCAAAAATTATTATATTGATGAAATAATATATTTTACATACACACAACTCCATATGTTCCTTCACCTATGCGATTCAATTTTTCAAACTCGGCAACAAATCGACAACGTCCAAGCTAAATATTTACAATAATTCACAATTAAAAATAATCAAAATAATAATAAATATAAATTTTAAAACTTTTCTGCATGCACAAAATGTATATTCCACTTATCAATCCCTACGTATTTATACAAATAAAAAAAAATTTTGTCTTAAAGAGGCACATACACGATTCGTTTCAATTGAACTGTCCTCAGTAATCATGTAAGTTCTGTCAAATGTGATAGGAAACTGAAGGACTGTTCAGTTAAAAGCACGCCATGAAATAATTAACTGTATTGACTTGCATGACAGTCAGTTATTAAATTACTGCGAGTGTTTGTGCATTCCCAAGTTAACTTTACATTCAAAACCTTAATTTTAAGTAAGACAGAGCTAAATGGATCGTGTATGGGCACTTATGATTGATATAAGGTATGAATACTACTAACGAGGTCTTTTTCAGGAATCGGCATAGGTTTAAGATCACGAAAAGAATATAATGATCCTGAAAGCATTACTGGGCCAGTAGGATCATAATCTGCCAATACTTGTTTTGATTTCTTAATGCCTCCACTTTCTACAGTTTTTTCTTTTTTGCTTTTTTTCGAATGCTTTTCTAAATTGACATAAAACATTAAAACCAAACAATTTATGATAATAACACATAAGAATTATTTATTAAATTGTACAAAATTCCCTGGGTAAAACGCACTTTTAGATTTTCCCATGTTGATGGTTGGATTGCTTGAACTTTTAAATGAGAATTAAAATACCAGTTAACATCCAATTGTAACTTGAAAATCGTACCGATGACTAATACGGGACTATATTTAATATATTATAAGTTTTAAACGTGAAACATAACAGAGCGCAAGATACAAACAAAATATTTATTATTGTGATAAATCATAAATGTGATTTTTGGATTGCGGACTGTGATGTTCGAAGTTTCGACGTTCGGGACAAAAAGCCGATTGTTGTTCCTTGTTATCATCAGAAAGCAAGTGTGCCCGTAGAACGGAATAAAATTACCGGTGCCACTATTTAAATAATATATTTTATAGCATAGAACAATATTATAGGGAACATTATAATAATACATTAATATGCAAAACAAATTATTTGTTCTTATTAATAATTAATAAAAATTAATCATACTATTGTTCTATGTTCATACTCATAGGCGTGCACAGTGAGCACAAGGGCAGCAAAGGCAACATAGTATGCTGCCCGGCTAGATAATACATCGTGACTGCCACCTGAACTTTTTTTCAGCTTACCGGTATTTAATTCTCAATGCTCCCTGTATGAAGTATTGAATTATTGAAATACATTTAAATATACTCAAAAATGTATTTAGAATTACGTTTAACGTCTATTATATGACAAAATAAACAAAATGTATTTTGTCATGGTCTATTACAACTTCTGAAAATAGTTTTCAAAATTGGCGTCTAAATGTGACCTGCAATCTGCATAGTAGCATAGTAGTCAATTTTCAAATAATAATAAAATTATCAAAATCTAACTATTTTACAGAGCGTGAGACTGTAAGGATTTTTAGCAAAACTCAAGAGTGAGGCAAGTTTTGATTCTCCGACAATCTAAACTGTTTTAGTGTTTTATATTGAATCATATTACATAAAATAACTTATAACTTATAACTTAAGAGTAAAAAAAAAAAAAAATGATCAAGAGTCCAATAAAATTACCGAGTAGGTAGTAGGTACCAACCATTGAATATAATGTAGCCTAATTGTCTGAATGTCTAAAGTATTAAATTATTATAAAAATGAGTTGATTACATTTAATAATAATGAAAAAGTTGATCAAAGCGATCAAGCTAAAGAGCTAACAAAAGTATATTTATTCTGATTTTTTACATTAAATTATTTAAATGTACCTAAATTTATTTTAATCTCTTAATCTAAAAGAACCTGTTTCGAATAAATTTCATTCTGTGGTGAAAAGTAATAAAAGATTAAATAAAATATAAAAATAATATTATTTGAAAATACTAAAATAGCATTAGTTGATAATCGATATTATGAAATAAAAATAAGAAACATTATTATCTATATTATACAAAGTACAAATCCTGAGCTCAGATTATAGTATGATAATTTACATATAAAAAATTGGTACATTATAATATTTGTGCATTGTTCTTGAATCTTGAGTTGGTGGTATAGGTAGGTAGGTGCAATGTTTTAAAGTTCTAATATTAATAAAGCGAAATGGAAATCCCTACTCATGGTACCCAATTTATTTAGCCATGTCTTGAGTCCTGACCGCATAGGCACAGTAATCTAGAAATTCGCTAAACTAGACCGGTTTAAAATTATCTCACATTATCCCGCACCGGGATAATGAACCATGTAAACGATCCCGGTGCATTATTTTTCACACGGGTTTAATCTAACGAATTTGTAGAATACCATATTATTATACAGTATGGCAATTTGCACATTGGCTGTTCAGCAGTTGGCACAAGGCACAGTCGGATTATTACTTATTATTGTAATATGTTATATAGATACATATTACATAGTGCATACTGCATACCCATAACGGCATAACCCATTGGCATTGGCGGTATTCAGCATTTACAATAGTATACCTATGGGCTATAATTAATTTTTTTAATAGTATTCTTCATTTGTTCCTTTTATTAATATTTAATCGCCAAGATCGACAATCGTAGCATCGTGGATTCGTACAGGAAACAGCAAGATGTTTTGTTGCGGTGTATGTAATGCCGTATTTACCGGAATATATCCTGAAACAGTACTTACAACTCCATGTGGTCATTTGTTTCATGCTGAATGCCTTAGCATGTGCTTCAACAAGTAGACAATTTTATAATTTATTCTTCTCTGGCATCCATTAGTAGTATAATTTAATTATTGTTGCTTGACTTTTTTATATCAAATTTTTCATTACTTATTATTATAAAAAATATAAGTACTAAAATGTAACTTAATGATATTGTTTCAAGAGGGTCGAGTCCAGGAGATAAATGCCCATTTTGTTCCCTATGCATAAACCCATCTAAAGTGATCAAGATACATCTCCAAATAGGTACAAATTGGAAAGATACCGCAGCTGCTTTAAAAAAACAGGTATAATAATTGTTTTTTAATAAAAATGGTTTTTAGTTATAGATTTTAGATATAGAATATCATAATTCATACGTAACCCGTTCAAAAGTATAGAGTGTATTCTTTCATAAAATACCATAATTTTCTTAAATATAAATCGATATTAAAATATTTTTTAAATCAAATACCTATTGAGGGGTGTGTTGTAAATTGGGCCTTGTGTGAATTGGTCTAATGTTTATTTCTTCCTTAATAATTGGTAAAGAATTAATTTGTAGAAAAAAATTATGGTCACTAGTTCCAGAACGTCAGAACATTAAAATATTTTTAAATTTTCATCAGGTATAAAAAACGATAAATAATTATTTGATGAAAATTTCAAGTAAATACTTATGAAATATTTTGTAAAGTAATTGGTAAGTACATTATTAATTATTTTTATTAGGCCAATACAAGCATCATTAATTTGGATGAATCATTAAAGAACAACTCTGTAATGCCGAAAAATTGTACAGATTTGAACAATTCAAGCTTTGATGAAACTCATGACAATTCTGTTCTAGACTTAACGCCCAAGTTACCAGTGTTTGATGTAAGTCATTCTCTCTACATTTTATGAGAATAAAACCTTAAATTAATTTAACACAATTTTTTAGACTTTTTTGATTTTTTGATTTAAAATTTTCTGACTAATATTTTACAATGAACTCAATTTTGAAGAATTATCACTTCATCAATGTTTTCAGTGAACTGCTAAATGGCCTAAATGTGGTTACATTTTGCTTCTTACGTATTAAATATACTCTTATAGTCTTATATAGAACACAACACAACGCAATGTTGCCAATTTAGTGTCTTCAAATTTTAACACCCATAGTACCTAATCTAATTTACTTTGTGCATTTGTGTGTTTTTACTAAGTACATCAAAAAGTTGATGGATCAGCATTCAGCAAATCAGCTACTAATTTGAATCGCAACTTAAAAAGTTCAAAAATGAAATTTTAGTTTGCATTATTTGAAATTTTTTCTAAAATATGCACATTTTAAAATAAAATTTCTCTTTCCTGCTCATTTATGTTGTTGTTGTTTTTTTTTTTTCAATAACATTTCATGAGTATATTTTAAAATATATTTGTGGAAAAATATGTCTATGAAAACTTAATAATAAAATTGTTCCCAATATAAAATAAAAACTGGTATAAATGTGTACTTAAATATTATCTAATTTATGTCCCGATAATACTTCAGGTTAAATTTAATTAAAACCTTAATCGTTGTATTCTCGAATACCCTACCATATCCATAGAACTAATAAGAGGAAACTACACCAGCATTTGTTTGCTAAGTCTTACTAATGTACAACATAGCAAAACGTTTTTAGAACTGGAAAGAATCAAGAAGGTTACACTTATTTATTTATTCTTATAACTAAAAAACAAAATTTTCACCACATAAAAAGGTGAACTTTAGCTGTGAAATATTGTTTTTATTTTTTCAATATTGAAACTACAAAAAGAGTTATTGAAGTTTGATAAAGACAAAAAACGATGGATTTTAAAACTATAAGAACTTTTTTCGTCAAAAAATTAAAAATGATTTTTCATAGATAATGTTTTGGACTATATTGTATATCAATTTGTAGTTTTAACTATCACTACAGCCTGAATTTTTCTATCTCGCATAAAACAGTTTTTGCTATGTTGTACATTTGTAAGATGGAGACAACACATGCAGGTGTAGTGTCCTCTTAAGTTAACTTATGGAAGCAATCAGTAATTCCAAGTATTCATAAAGTATTTTATATTTTCAACATATAAAAAAGTATAGTGTTCAGTGGCAGATTTATCCTAGTTCTGAGAGGGTGGGGGGTTTAATTTCAATTCCACAGAGGGATTGACGTTTAACCCCTCCTATGGGGTGGTCCACATGTGGTGGTGAAAAGCCCAGGGGGGGTCCAACAATTCCCCCCGGATATCCGCCACTGATAGTGTCACCGTGTCAGACTGTTGTGATACCACGTTACAAGAATGTTCTAACTTTCAAAGCTCTGAGAGTCTGTCGTACTAGCACAAAGTTTTGTTGTATTTCTAAAGTATAAATACCACATAATAATTCATATTAATTACATTTTGCATCTTTTTTGCCTTTTTTAATTATTATTTCTACCTAAACTTAGTAAACCTCACGTAAAAAAAATTGCATATTTTTTTATTTATTTAAGTCCATATTTTGGTAGCTTTTAATGGCTGAACTTCTGGGCTCTACTTACTACCTTATAAAGGCTTAAATTAAAGTAGTTAAAAAGAACATACTTTTATGAATTGTCATGTACAATTTTATTTCGGTTAAATGTTAGTTAATAAGTAAATAAAAAAAATAATAACTGAAACATGTGATATAACAGTGATAAATATATATAATAGGTAGGTACTTTATGAAATATTTTGTAAAATGAATACATTGTTTGTTTTTATTAGGCCAATACAAGCATCATTAATTTGGATGGATCATTAATGAACAACTCTGCAATGATGGATTTGAAGAGTCATAGAAAAACTATGCTTACTACTTCCCTGTCTGTTATCCTGGCAGAAGTAACAAAAAACATTCTATCAATCTTGAATCATGTCATAGAAAATTCCATAGTAGTAGGACGATCGCTTATGTCTGAAAAAAAATTAATAGACACAGCTAGGGAAACTGGTTACTCCGACATAATAATAATACTTATGAACTTAGGGCACCCAGTTGGTATAAGTTTTATTGATTTAATACATAATTTAAAACTCAATGTTACAATAACATCATTTAAATGCTTCAATAATATAAATGCTATTAATAGTAATAATACATATTTATCCACAAAAAATGAACAAAAATTAAATGAACTTCAACAATTTATATTTAATTTTTTTTCTAAGCCTGGGAATCTCAACGATTATGTGAACAGAATTTTATTTCCCTGCCCTGATAATTGGAATGATATGAAATTTACTCATACTTTGGGTAATTTGATGATAAGTTTTATCATTAAATTGCCACTTTATCATAATAATTATGAACATATCAAGGCTATCAATTAAATTAAAGGAAATTCATTAACGATAATGTCATATTGTCATGTTATATTTGTATTTTATTTCCATTTATAGACATATAGTCATACAAAATATTGTTACTAAAATTATGTGTTTTAATTTATTATTTTAATGATTAATCCAACAAAAATATTATTTTAATGCATTTTATTGTAAATTGTATGTAAAACATTTATTTACATTTTATTTGTCTCACCAAAAAACATATTTAAGTGCCTACCAAGAACTATTGTTTCAAAGAATTGTATATCGATCATTATTTTTTGTTTTACTTGCATATTATGTTAATTTTTTTTTTATATAACAATGTAGTCTGAGGCCTTAAAAACTAATAAAATATATTGTATTATATTTTATAAGACAATTTTATGTTTTAAAAGATTTATGAAAATATGAAATTCATTTTTTAAAAATAAAAAGGTGCTCTGCTGTACAGTAGGTTACAAGTGGGTCACTGTATAATGGATGGTATAAAATTTGAATTCAATGATATAATATCATTCTATAAGAAAAACGATTCTGAGCGGAGACGGTGTGTCAGTCTAGGTATAAGGCATATTATATACTTATCTGTGGTATTAAAAAAAATTTACCTGAAATAAATTCCAAATTAATCATATCACAATATCCATTAGATACTTATGACATGTTATACAACAACAACAAACCCTGATACTGTCATAGATATCTAGACACGCGGTAGCCAAGTTCTAGCTAACAGAACTGGCGAGCAGCACCGTGTGTAATATTACACGAACCATTTGGAGCCACTTTTAACCCCCTCATAACTCAAAAACTATTCCACATAAACATGTCAAATTTGGCTCATATATTGAGACTAACGAGATATATATGTGCTCTAAATTTCATAAACACACTTCAAACCATAGACATAATATATTATGTCTATGCTTCAAACCGTTATTTAGATATTAACGTCCGAAAATCGTCATTTTTATCACTGACTGACCTTTTTTTTTTTTTTTTTCAGTTTTGAACCGACGGTGTCGCGGGAACAGCTTTCGCATTACTTCCGCGACGCCGCCATCGTTTATTAAATTTAAGATACATGGTAGTACATTTATAATTTAATTTTTATACCATTGATTAGTCCCTTAGTGGGTGCACATCGAAACTAATTATTAACATACATTTTATTAAGAAAAAAGATTACATTGTTGGCTTAAGGCCCGCTGTTCGCATTTCTTGACTTCCCGACCCGGCTTTGGTGCCCGCCAGTCGGAAAGTCATGTTCGTATCTTCTTGGCCCGGCTTGATAGCCAGCCGGCCTCGAGTCTCGTACTGAGCATCCTTCTCCTTGAGACAGGGGCGTCATTTCAGGTTTTTTTTCGGGTGTGCGAGGTTTCAAGCAGGCCATTTTGAAATTTCACCAGGCCATATAAAAATAGATATACAAACGTGCCTTATCCTGTTTTCAATTATTTCTATACATTATGGACCGAATAAACTCGGAATCATTGCATCAAAATAAATAGTAAATATCAATTAAGATACTAAAATATAATAAATAATTAATTACCTTAACAGTGAAAACCAATAATAATTTATGCATAATAAGCTAGAAGAAGAATTAATGCAGCAGCAAATAAAAAAAAGGACTTAATATCTATATTAATAAATTTTCATTTATTTTCATAATTATTATAATTTTGGAAAAAGCAAAGCGCTAGAAAAAACAAATTTTTATTTAAATAAGCGGATATCGTCGATTTTTTAGTTTAGCAAATATATCTACAGCTTCTTCTAAATTTATATATTGTTAACTTCTTCTTTTTCAACATTAAGTACCATCCGATCATTAAGTCTTTCATCACCCATGGTAGTGCGTAAATATGACTTAACTCTTTTAAGTGATGAAAAAAACCTTTCATTTGATCCGTTGTAATTGGTAAAGTTTTTGCCAATGAAATAATTTTTAAAGTTTCTACAAAAGCGATAGGAAAATCTTTTAAGCAATATTATTAGGCTTCAGCGGGGCGCAGGCCAAGGCTTCAGCAGGGCGCAGGCCAATTGGAAGTATTTAAAAATTAAGGGGTGCTACCGCACACCCTGACCCCCCCCCCCCAAATGACGCCCCTGCCTTGAGATGTACTGGAGGGTGCTCCTCGCCGTTGTTGGTTTTCCAGTTTTCCTTCTGTCTCCGTCGTTGTGTACTGTCGTCTTCCGGGATCCGATTGGATCGCTGCGTCGCGTGGTGTCTGCATCTGCAGCCCCTACTTCCTCAGCCACCCTGACGATGAATAGTCGTCCGTGGGTGTTCTACTCCTGCGCAGCGGGCCCACGAACCGCTGTCGGCAGTTTCGCTGAGTTTTCGGGGTGTAGAGAGTTGCCGTTGCTCTGCTGCTTTCCGCTCGTCTCCCGGAATCCGTCCTCGGCTGTTGTTGGTGTCGGATGGGGGCGGTGTTAGCCCTCTCTGGTCTGTTGCCTGCCGGTGTTTTGGTTTGTTCAGTTTTCCTTCTGGTTCCTCCGTTCGTTCATCGTCGTGCTGCTCGGTGCTTGGATGACTGGTCGGCGGTTTCTTGAGGCGTTCTGACTAGCGGCCTTTCCCAACAATCGCGATCACCCGGACGGTGACGAATCGTGCTGTGGGCGTCCTACTAATGCCCCGGGGCATGCCTGCCGCTGCGGGGCAGTTTCGGATGATGGTACTGAGCCGCTTAGTTTACTAACCGCTGGGTCCCCGTCTAACCTTCCCGGTCGTCTGTGCATCGAGCCTTCGGTCCGTGTGGTCAGTAGTTGGAGGGCGATGTTGGCCCTCTCTGGTCGCTGGTGTTGACCCGCCGGTGTTCGGTTTTATACAGTTTGCCTTCTGTGCCTCCCCCGTTGGTCGGAACCGGAATTCCGTTTCCAGTCGGCACCGCGTGGAGGTGGGGGTAGGACTCTGCCGACCATCACTGACTGACCTATAGATCAAAATTCTAACCCAGTTCCAGATGACCTAGAAAGTTAAAATTTGGCATACAGATAGGTAGTTAGGTAAATACAAAGGAAAAAATCAATTGATTTTATTATAATTTTGCAATTATTTTATCTATTATGTTTAAATTTTTCAATTAATTAATGAATTGCCTCTAATGTAATGTAATGTAATGTTGACTCAAATAACCTTTCCCGTATAAGTATGTAATTAATATTATTTTTTTTAAATATTACAATTAAAATAATTAAATAATTATTCTTACAAATTATGAATTATCCACCCAACAGTAGAAACTACAGTCAATAAAATTATGATTATTAAAAATATACTCAAAAAGAGTTAAAATAATTGTATATTAATTTTACATATATTTTATACTCTGTATAATGTGTATATACAATAGAAAATATTTTATAATAAATATTATTAATGTTATACGTTAGTAACTGAATTATAGTATTTAGTAATAAACTTTATTTATAGAATACGTCATTTTAAATTATTGTAAAAATAATATAAATACAATAGTTTAATAAAAACCATTTGGAAATAATTTTATTATGAATAAATAGCTATTAAAAATTTACATACAAAAAGTAATGATATCCCAACAAAACATATATGTAAAATGATAGCCAAGTTCAATTATGTAATATATGCTTTGATTGTTGACTTCAACGACAAAAGAAGTGAGATCTAAATGGATGCCAAGTTCAATGGTCAGTCCTGAAATTTATTTATAACAACATGAAATATAATTTCTTCTTATCACTTAGGATAATGTTTTGAAGCCTAAGGTCTGACTTGGCTAGTTTCTATATACGAATTATGTTATAGCCTTCGCAAGTTCTAAAAAGTTGGGAGTTCTTTTTTATTCTTCTAAAAATTTGGCTTGCTATTAGAAACTAGCTATCGAACATAGTGCTCTTCCATGACTGTTTTAGTAGGTACTTGATGATAATTCGTAAAATATGGAAACTAGCCAAGTCAGACCTTAGGCTTCAAAACATATATTACATAATTGAACTTGGCTATCATTTTACATATATGTTTTGTTGGGATATAATAGTGTACTTTAGAAGTTTCAAGTACCTATGAATAATATTATACAATCCACAAAATAACTAAAATAGTAATTCTAGGATTTTTTAATGCAATTTCGTCCAAATTTGAACTTAAAATGACTATAAAAATAAACTGTGCTTATGTATTTTTTAGATTTATTGGTAACAGAATTAACTACTTAGGTGGAATCTTGTTTTAAATTTTCAATCCTCAAATATAAAAGTTTAACATTTTATAAATTATAAGCTACAAAATAAGTTGAAGTTGAAAATCTAAGCATTTATTTGACTACTTATCGTATGCACAGACACAAAAATAAAAGAATAAAAAAAAAAACATCATTGTAAAATCAATACATTCATCGTTTCACTCAGAATCTAAAATGTGCATAGTATAATATGGCTATTCAAAATCCCCAAAAAAAAGTTGTTTATGTTTTTTTAAACTTTGTACAATACTCATCTGCATTCTGCATATTGTGTGAATATGTGATTATAATATTACAAATTTTACAATCTAATATTGTACTTTATTTATGATATTTCAAATAATATAGTATATTGTATATTAAAGTTTTTCAAATAAATATTTAGATTTATTGTTTTATCTTTTATTAGTATGGTAAGCAAATTAGATAAGACTATTAAAAACATGAGTAATATGACGGAAGAAGCCACCCAATGATGACACTACCTATTTTTTTTAGAGTTAAGTAGGGGGAATTTGATCTAAGATTCAAGCATCTAGCGGGTCACGACACCAATTGCGTTTGAGACGTCTGACGGGGTTACCCGGAATCGAAGGGACTGCTAGATTTTTTATAAGAGGGTTAGGATGATTCAGTAACCTACTGTGAAACCGCTTATAGTAGAGTTTTGCTTCATCTTTGACAGAGTTCAGCCTGAGATCTTGCTGAATGGAAAGGTTGGAGACAGGCCCTGATTTACGCAAGTGCAGATGGAGCACTTGCACTTGGCCCCCAATTTTTGGGGGCCCCCGATCTCCGTGAATTGTAGAAAATTTTCTGTATTAAAATATTTTTTTAAATTAATTATTTTTAATAAATTATAATTCCCATAGACCTTATAGGTACTAGTATAAGTTATTCTTCACCTCAATACGTCATATTAAAATAATAATAATAGACAATTGTTCGAACATCGGAAATATTTGATACATAATAACTATTTATAGATTTCTTCCAGCCCAGTATTTACTGATTAACCGGTCGTTGGTGACGCATTTCGCTCCCACAATTACCATTTTTAGAACTATTGGTTTAGGTTATTCAGTTATCCACGGAAATGAATATCGCAAAACAAATGTTATAAATAAACTAATATATAAAAAAAAAATGTTGAATCAGTTATCGAAACTTTTGCAGAGAAAAAAGCAAGAAAGAAATCTTTTTAAACTTTTTTTGTGATAAAATGTTATAGCTAAATAAAAATATAAATATAGAAAATATAGAAATGATTTATTTTTTATTTCATTTTAATTGTATAAAATAAATTGTTAAACTAACAAGTTATTTACCATTTTTATAATTTTATGGAAGATTGATAATTAATTATGTTATTTAATTAGTATTATCTTTTCAATGTCCTTAATTTACCAGACCAAGTAACTAAATTGTATTTATAGTATATCTGTATATGAAATAATGTACAAATATTTTATGAATTTTGAGATATTTATTTAATACTTAACATATAAATATTTTGTTTTATTATCAATATTTCCTCCTACTCTCTGTATAGATTTTTTCTAGAACATTTTTTTGACTTGTGGTGGTGGCCGGTGGGGGTAGGGGGTAGGGGGCCCCCGAAAAAATTGTGCACTTGGCCCAAATTTTATTAAATCAGGGCCTGGTTGGAGACATAAGGGGGAGAATTCAGTAGTTTTATTACCGCTATGTTTTGGAAGGTTTGTATTTTGTTAATGTTTGATATGTTTGCATTACCCCAGAGTTGTATGCCATATGTCCAGATGGGCTTAATTAGAGATTTGTAAATTAGGAGTAAAGTTTTAATGTGTGTGTATTTGTTGTTATTGCAAAAAGTTTTTAACAGTCGTAGCAGGTTTAAATTTTGTCTTTTAGTTCTAAGGTGGGGAGCCCAGGTAAGTCTGCGATCAAGTGTAAGTCCTAGATATTTGACTGTAGAAGAAGTAGGAATTTGAGTGCCATAAATAGATACCTCAGGGCAAGGAGAGAGACGAAGTGTGAATGTTGTGTGGATAGATTTTGACTGGTTAATTTTGAACAGCCACTATTGGTATACCAGTCTTCCATAAGGGTTAGGTGATTCTGAAGATTGTGTGAGGCTATTTCCGGATTAGAATTTATAGATATTATTGTCTTATCGTCTGCATAATCAGCAACTAAAGTGTTTAGTGTAGTAGGCTGATCAGCAGCATAAATATTATAAAGTACAGTTGAGAGTTGTTTAACACCGGCTGAAATATTGGATATAGTTGAGTGTGCATTACCGAATCTAATTTGAAAATTACGGTTGGATAGGTATGATTATATGATAAGGTAAAAAACAGGGTGCAAGATTTTTTTTAATTTAACAAGAAGACCATCATGCCATACCCTGTCGAACGCTTGTGATAATTTAGATAAAGAATATTATATAATATTATGCCTATTAATAGTTTAAAAAATACCTAATTATAATGTTTTGATTTTAATGAATATTAATTTACGAATTATGTGCACTTGTGAAAAATAAATATAAATATTAAATAATATAGTCACCAATGACCAGTGGCGTACACAGCTATTTTCAATGGGGGGGGCTTACATATAAAAAAATTATATACATATATATAATACATTGATGAATCAAAACGATGTACCTATAGTAATTATTTTGTACATAATGAGTAATCGGCTCATTAGCAATGACTTAAGGCGAAATTAAAAATTTTTTTACAATTCTCGATTATTATTTAAAAAATATATACCTATTACCTACAGGTAATTATTTAGTATAACTACAAAGTTACACGCGTACATACAATATGTATATAATAATATATTATATACAATTCAATAAAAGATAGGTATAAAGAGAAATTTATTTTTACCATATTAATCATTTTTTTGTACCTAGGTCCTAGGTTGATAATATAATGTATTAAATATTTACCTGGTTCCTCCGAGTTAATTGTATCACAAATTAGTGAGTTAGAAAAATATTCGTTTATTCTTTTCATTTTTATTGTTTTATAAAATATTTAAACAGTAAGTACAATTTACTAAACGTCCAAAGCGTCAGGAATTTGATTGAAAACTGAGAAATAGATTCTATACTATAGTAGTATAGTATTAGCGATACTGCGATAGCTATTAAGGCATATTTTATCGGATTACACGATTGTCGACCCTCATGTTTGTGTTTGAACAAATTTCCCAATAATTTCATTAATTTGTAACAAGTTAACAATAATATCTACAATATATTATAACAACAAACTGGGTTGCTTATAAGTTATAATATAATGGAGTATAATTTGGAATATAATATTTTTTTAAATTGTCATCATTTTTATTATACATTTTTACGTTATTACGTAAACTGAAAAAATACTAAAAGGGGGGGGGGGGTTGAACACCCAAACACCCCCCCCCGTGTGTACGCCACTGCCAATGACAATAATATGATTATAATATTATGATAATATTACTATTTCACTGTATATTTTATCTGCCTTGTTTCTTCGACGACGATTAAATGCAAAATGATTCAAATTCAATTGATAAATAATAATATGTTTTAAAATAAATATACATGGACATTTAAGATCCAATGTATAAATATATTTTAAAAAAAAACATCATTGTAATATATTAATATTTAAATATCAAAAATCCCGCTGGAAAAACAAGTAACTCAGACAGTCAGACACATGAAGGCACGGAGCCGCAAGAATAAATATAAATTGCATGTATACTGTAATAGGATAATAATAACATAATATAAACATATTAATGTAATTTAGTAGGTACCTATAATGTTATCATCATCGGTCACAATAATTTAATAATTATTACTATACATTTTGTTTGTTACATTCGATACCTGCAGTGGACAGTGGTGCCATAAGAATAACAGTTTTATAAATAATTAAAAATATAATAGGATAATAAGTACATTATTTAAAACTAAATTTATTTTCTCTCCTAATTAGTTTAGGACTTTATATAATATTAAAATAGTTCATAACGAACTATATATTTTTGTTTGCCAAATTCCCTTTAAAATTTATCAAAATTAAAGATGGAATTCTTTTTTGGTTTGGGGGTGTCCAGACACCGTGGACACCCCCCCCCCCCTCAAAAAAAATACGACACTGGTTCAAAGTGAAATTCAACGGCAAGATACACGCTTCCGGAAATGCATATCACCCAGACGTTAGCTGTTACATTGAGGTAAGAAGTAAGAACCATGATTAATTTAAATGTAATTTAGGTACTGGTCTAGTTGACCCTCGCCAGGAAGGCAATTCCCCCGCCACTCAAGTTTAGTTGACGCCCGCCACTTACCTATATCTCTTGTATTTTTGATGTTATATAATGTATAATATTATGATATACTGCAGAGTGCAGATAAAAAAGGTACGAAATCATAAACGCTAGGTATTTGTGTGAAATTCTCTAATAAGATATTTAAAGGATTATATTTTTTAAAATCCGTGTAGTAAAATGAATTATATACCTAAGATAGGTATAACAGCGGTCAGCGGGTGCCGTAAATAATATTATGAAGTACTCAAGTACCTACCTCAGTTATTCAGTTGATGTCATCTGAACAAAAAGAAAATGAATTTCCAACAAATTTATTGTCGAGATCAACGAAAGTTTATTTGTTAGACTTAAAAATAATGCTGGTCGAATACTCGAATACTGCCACAGCAATGGGTATTTGGTGGCATATGTCGTGAGACCAATGAGTGTTTTAAAAATTATGACAACAATTATACATTTATGATTATCCAGAATAATTCAATCGATCAAAATAAAAAAATATAAAAAATATGGTAATAATAAAAAAAAAAGGTGGGCAAGTGGATGTCGCTCTGCTGTACAGTAGGTTACAAGGGGGTCACTGTATAATGGATGCTATTAAATTTGAATTCAATGATAAAATATCATTGTATAAGAAAAACGATTCTGAGCGAAGACAGTATGTCAGTCTAGACTCTAGGTTTAAGACAAATTATATACATATCTATGGTATTAAAAAAAAAATTGACCTATAATAAATTCCAAATTAATCATATCACAATATCCATTAGGTACTTATAATGAGTTATAACACGTTATACATCAATAACAAACCCTGATACTATCATAGATATATAATATAGTGTACTTTAGAAGTTTCAAGTACCCACGAATAGTATTATACACTCACAATAAAATAACTAAAATAGGTATACTAGGTTTTTTAATATGTAATTTCGTCCAAATTTGAACTTAAAATGTCTGTAAAAAATAACTGTGCTCATAAATTTTTTAGATTTTTTGGCTACAGTATGAACTATTTATGAGAATCTTTTTTTTAAATTTTCAATCCTTAGCTATAAAAACTGAACATTTTATAATTTATTAATTACGATGGTTGATAATTTTCGAGATTTTGATAAATTTTGTCAAAATGCGATCTTTAAATTCTTATAAAAAAAACTGTGCCTATGTATTTTTAATATTTTTCATATACTATTGTAACAATATATCAGGAGCCTTGTATTAAATTTTTACACTTTTTGGCTCAACAGATAAAACTTAATTGATATTTATAGAAAAAAAAACTAAAAAAAAATGAAAGCTGTAAATGTCCATAAACAGCTCAAAAAGAGTCAAAATATATTCAAAATTTTATGGTGTATAGGAAATGCTTATATAAATATTCAGTGAAATTTTCATGTATCTAAAGTTATTCGGTTTTGAATTACAACAAAATAAGGAAATCGTTACATGAGAAATCGAGTGAATATTCAATGTTGTAAAAATTTGAATTTCAAACGCTCATAAAAATTTATTTATTTATTTATTTGACTTTCTTATAGACATTTTTTTTTTTGATAAAGGTAGATAATCTTATAAGGAATCTTGTATAACATTTTCAAATCTTAGATTTAAAAAATAATTTTTTACGAATTCTTAACTCAAAATAATTTGCTAATTTTCGTGATTTTTCCATATTTTGTCAATTTTTGAACTTTAAATGCTTATAAAAAAAATTGTGACTAAGGATTTTTAATATTTTTCATCTGACTTTGAAACAATACATTAGGAGCCTTCTATTAAATTTTCAAGCTTTCGCAACCAACAAATAAAATGTTATTGATATTTTTAGAAAAAAAACTAAAAAAAAATGGAAAATGAAAATGTCCATAAACAGTTCTAAATAAATCAAAATATTTTGAAAATGTTATCGTGTATAGAAAATGCAAATATAAACTACTAGTGAAAATTTCACGTATATACGTTAATTTTTTTTAGAGTTACAACAAAAACCAAAATCGATTTTTTGGAAAACCGATTTTGCGTAAAAATTCCCGTTTTTCCTTAATTTTTATGTTGTTTTTCCCGGCGCTTGTGAAAACTACTGGGAAATTTATACTTTTGACCCCCCCAAAGTACTAACTAGATTCACTTTCCTATCAGAAAAGCTACTGATGAAGAAAATCCAAGCACTTTTACTGTCCTAAAACGTGATGACAGACACAAAAAAAAATTAATAAAAAAAAAAAAAAAAAAAAAACACACATCATTGTAAAATCAATCATTCATCGTTTCACTCAGAATCTAAAATATGTGATCTAACTAAAAATTTAAGGTTTTCGGAATTTTTCTGTTATATGTGCAATAAAACATTGCTTCATGCCGAATTTCGAGATTCTTAATCGACTTGATGAAACAAACTTGAGGTTTGGATTCCCTCGCAAGTAGTCGCGAGTTTGAAAATATGCGGCTTAAATTGTTATTATTTCTTTCGATTGCGTTGACATAAAAATTTGATTTTGTTACAGTTTAAAGGTATTTTAGACTTAAGTATTTAATATGAATTTTAATTTAATACCTCAACGCGTTCATGAGATAAGAAGTAGTAACTTTGAAATTTTCAAAATTGTCAAAAATATTTTATTTTTATATGATGAAACTAAAAATTTATGGTTTTCGTAATTATTTCTATATCTGTACTATAAGACGTGACTTCGTACGAAATTTCAAGATTCTAAGTTCACGGGAAGTACCATGTAGGTTTTGATTCACGTGCGAGTTTTGAAAATTTGCGGAAATTTGCGGCCTAAATGGCTGTATCTTTTGATTGCGTTGGCTTAGAAGGTTGATTTTTCTACAGCTTCCAGGGACAGTAGACCTGAGTATCATATAGAAATTTCAGTTTGATACCTCCACGCGTTCCTGAGAAAAACGGTCTTGACAGACGGACGGACGGACGGACGGACAACAAAGTGATCATATAAGGGTTCCGTTTTTTTCTTTTGAGGTACGGAACCCTAAAAATAAGAAACATTAATCATTATTATCTATATTATACAAAGTACAAATCCTGAGCTCAGATTATAGTATGATAATTTACATATAAAAAATTGGTACATTATAATATTTGTGCATTGTTCTTGAATCTTGAGTTGGTGGTATAGGTAGGTAGGTGCAATGTTTTAAAGTTCTAATATTAATAAAGCGAAATGGAAATCCCTACTCATGGTACCCAATTTATTTAGCCATGTCTTGAGTCCTGACCGCATAGGCACAGTAATCTAGAAATTCGCTAAACTAGACCGGTTTAAAATTATCTCACATTATCCCGCACCGGGATAATGAACCATGTAAACGATCCCGGTGCATTATTTTTCACACGGGTTTAATCTAACGAATTTGTAGAATACCATATTATTATACAGTATGGCAATTTGCACATTGGCTGTTCAGCAGTTGGCACAAGGCACAGTCGGATTATTACTTATTATTGTAATATGTTATATAGATACATATTACATAGTGCATACTGCATACCCATAACGGCATAACCCATTGGCATTGGCGGTATTCAGCATTTACAATAGTATACCTATGGGCTATAATTAATTTTTTTAATAGTATTCTTCATTTGTTCCTTTTATTAATATTTAATCGCCAAGATCGACAATCGTAGCATCGTGGATTCGTACAGGAAACAGCAAGATGTTTTGTTGCGGTGTATGTAATGCCGTATTTACCGGAATATATCCTGAAACAGTACTTACAACTCCATGTGGTCATTTGTTTCATGCTGAATGCCTTAGCATGTGCTTCAACAAGTAGACAATTTTATAATTTATTCTTCTCTGGCATCCATTAGTAGTATAATTTAATTATTGTTGCTTGACTTTTTTATATCAAATTTTTCATTACTTATTATTATAAAAAATATAAGTACTAAAATGTAACTTAATGATATTGTTTCAAGAGGGTCGAGTCCAGGAGATAAATGCCCATTTTGTTCCCTATGCATAAACCCATCTAAAGTGATCAAGATACATCTCCAAATAGGTACAAATTGGAAAGATACCGCAGCTGCTTTAAAAAAACAGGTATAATAATTGTTTTTTAATAAAAATGGTTTTTAGTTATAGATTTTAGATATAGAATATCATAATTCATACGTAACCCGTTCAAAAGTATAGAGTGTATTCTTTCATAAAATACCATAATTTTCTTAAATATAAATCGATATTAAAATATTTTTTAAATCAAATACCTATTGAGGGGTGTGTTGTAAATTGGGCCTTGTGTGAATTGGTCTAATGTTTATTTCTTCCTTAATAATTGGTAAAGAATTAATTTGTAGAAAAAAATTATGGTCACTAGTTCCAGAACGTCAGAACATTAAAATATTTTTAAATTTTCATCAGGTATAAAAAACGATAAATAATTATTTGATGAAAATTTCAAGTAAATACTTATGAAATATTTTGTAAAGTAATTGGTAAGTACATTATTAATTATTTTTATTAGGCCAATACAAGCATCATTAATTTGGATGAATCATTAAAGAACAACTCTGTAATGCCGAAAAATTGTACAGATTTGAACAATTCAAGCTTTGATGAAACTCATGACAATTCTGTTCTAGACTTAACGCCCAAGTTACCAGTGTTTGATGTAAGTCATTCTCTCTACATTTTATGAGAATAAAACCTTAAATTAATTTAACACAATTTTTTAGACTTTTTTGATTTTTTGATTTAAAATTTTCTGACTAATATTTTACAATGAACTCAATTTTGAAGAATTATCACTTAATCAAGGTTTTCAGTGAACTGCTAAATGTGGTTACATTTTGCTTCTTACGTATTAAATATACTCTTATACAGAACACAACACAACACAATGTTGCCAATTTAGTGTCTTCAAATTTTAACACCCATAGTACCTAATCTAATTTACTTTGTGCATTTGTATGTTTTTACTAAGTACATCAAAAAGTTGATGGATCAGCATTCAGCAAATCAGCTACTAATTTGAATCGCAACTTAAAAAGTTCAAAAATGAAATTTTAGTTTGCATATTTTGAAATTTTTTCTAAAATATGCACATTTTAAAATAAAATTTCTCTTTCCTGCTCATTTATGTTGTTGTTGTTTTTTTTTTCAATAACATTTCATGAGTATATTTTAAAATATATTTGTAGAAAAATATGTCTATGAAAACTTAATAATAAAATTGTTCCCAATATAAAATAAAAACTGGTATAAATGTGTACTTAAATATTATCTAATTTATGTCCCGATAATACTTCAGGTTAAATTTAATTAAAACCTTAATCGTTGTATTCTCGAATACCCTACCATATCCATAGAACTAATAAGAGGAAACTACACCAGCATTTGTTTGCTAAGTCTTACTAATGTACAACATAGCAAAACGTTTTTAGAACTGGAAAGAATCAAGAAGGTTACACTTATTTATTTATTCTTATAACTAAAAAACAAAATTTTCACCACATAAAAAGGTGAACATTAGCTGTGAAATATTGTTTTTATTTTTTCAATATTGAAACTACAAAAAGAGTTATTGAAGTTTGATAAAGACAAAAAACGATGGATTTTAAAACTATAAGAACTTTTTTCGTCAAAAAATTAAAAATGATTTTTCATAGATAATGTTTTGGACTATATTGTATATCAATTTGTAGTTTTAACTATCACTACAGCCTGCATTTTTCTATCTCGCATAAAACAGTTTTTGCTATGTTGTACATTTGTAAGATGGAGACAACACATGCAGGTGTAGTGTCCTCTTAAGTTAACTTATGGAAGCAATCAGTAATTCCAAGTATTCATAAAGTATTTTATATTTTCAACATATAAAAAAGTATAGTGTTCAGTGGCAGATTTATCCTAGTTCTGAGAGGGTGGGGGGTTTAATTTCAAATCCACAGAGGGATTGACGTTTAACCCCTCCTATGGGGTGGTCCACATGTGGTGGCGAAAAGCCCAAGGGGGGAAAGTTTTGATGTATTTCTAAAGTATAAATACCACATAATAATTCATATTAATTACATTTTGCATCTTTTTTGCCTTTTTTAATTATTATTTCTACCTAAACTTAGTAAACCTCACGTAAAAAAAATTGCATATTATTTTATTTATTTAAGTCCATATTTTGGTAGTTTTTAATGGCTGAACTTCTGGGCTCTACTTACTACCTTATAAAGGCTTAAATTAAAGTAGTTAAAAAGAACATATTTTTATGAATTGTCATGTACAATTTTATTTCGGTTAAATGTTAGTTAATAAGTAAATAAAAAAAATAATAACTGAAACATGTGATATAACAGTGATAAATATATATAATAGGTAGGTACTTTATGAAATATTTTGTAAAATGAATACATTGTTTGTTTTTATTAGGCCAATACAAGCATCATTAATTTGGATGGATCATTAATGAACAACTCTGCAATGATGGATTTGAAGAGTCATAGAAAAACTATGCTTACTACTTCCCTGTCTGGTGTTATCCTGACAGAAGTAACAAAAAACATTCTATCAATCTTGAATCATGTCATAGAAAATTCCATAATAGTAGGACGATCGCTTATGTCTGAAAAAAAATTAATAGACACAGCTAGGGAAACTGGTTACTCCGACATAATAATAATACTTATGAACTTAGGGCACCCAGTTGGTATAAGTTTTATTGATTTAATACATAATTTAAAACTCAATGTTACAATAACATCATATAAATGCTTCAATAATAAAAATGCTATTAATAGTAAGAATACATATTATTTAACCACAAAAAATGAACAAAAATTAAATGAACTTCAACAATTTATATTTAATTTTTTTTCTAAGCCTGGGAATCTCAACGATTATGTGAACAGAATTTTATTTCCCTGCCCTGATAATTGGAATGATATGAAATTTACTTATACTATGGGTAATTTGATGATAAGTTTTATCATTAAATTGCCACTTTATAATAATAATTATGAACATATCAAGGCTATCAATTAAATTAAAGGAAATTCATTAACGATAATGTCATATTGTCATGTTATATTTGTATTTTATTTCCATTTATAGACGTATAGTCATACAAAATATTGTTACTAAAATTATGTGTTTTAATTTATTATTTTAATGATTAATCCAACAAAAATATTATTTTAATGATTAATCCAACAAAAATATTATTTTAATGCATTTTATTGTAAATTTTATGTAATACATTTATTTACATTTTATTTGTCTCACCAAAAAACATATTTAAGTGCCTACCAAGAACTATTGTTTCAAAGAATTGTATATCGATCATTATTTTTTGTTTTACTTGCATATTATGTTAAATTTTTTTTTTTATATAACAATGTAGTCTGAGGCCTAAAAAACTAATAAAATATATTGTATAATATTTTATAAGACAATTTTATATTTTGAAAGATTTATGAAAATATGAAATTCAATTTTTAAAAATAAAAAGGTGCTCTGCTGTACAGTAGGTTACAAGTGGGTCACTGTATAATGGATGCTATTAAATTTGAATTCAATGATATAATATCATTCTATAAGAAAAACGATTCTGAGCGGAGATGGTGTGTCTGTCTAGGTATAAGGCATATTATATACTTATCTGTGGTATTAAAAAAAATTTACCTGAAATAAATTCCAAATTAATCATATCACAATATCCATTAGATACTTATGACATGTTATACAACAACAACAAACCCTGATACTGTCATAGATATATAATAGTGTACTAATAGAAGTTTCAAGTACCTATGAATAATATTATACAATCTACAAAATAACTAAAATAGTAATTCTAGGTTTTTTTTTAATGCAATTTCGGGTATAATTGCAGTTTAGCTACCACGAGATTTTTTCGAAACCTAGGTAAATCAACGTTTTAAAAATGATGGTGCCGAAAAAAAATTGCGCAAACTCTTAGTTTTTGAGTTATAACTGTTAGAAATTCAAAAATTCCCAAATATTGCATTTTGAATTTTGAATTTTTTTTGTGGTAGACTTATGTATTTTGATTTTTGACTATTTAAAAACGATGGTGCAATCAGAATTTGTCGATCGAATTGAGTTTGAAAGTTATAGTGGTTTTAAGTTAAAAATTTTGGATTTTTAAAGAAAAATTTTTTTTGTTGAACGAAGTCGCCAAGTGAGGTAGTTGCGCCTTACCTGCTCCGGTTATATTTTTCAGATATATAATTTCTCTGAATCCAAATATCGTAAATATAAATGTTTCTGTAATTGGCAAAAAACAACTTTGTTTAATTCCGAGGTTCACCTGAGGTGGTTTTACACAACAAATCGGGGGATATTTTCGATTTGCGGAGCGGAGCGACGGCGCCGAGGAGCGTAGCGACGAGTGCCAATACACTCGTAATCACTGCAACTTTTAACTTTCATAACTTAAAACCGCTATAACTTTCAAACTAAATTCGATCGACAAATTCTGATTGCACCATCGTTTTTAAATAGTCAAAATACATAAGTCTACCACAAAAAAAAATTCAAAATTTGGGAGTTTTTGAATTTCTAACAGTTATAACTCAAAAACTAAGAGTTTGCGCAATTTTTATTTGGCACCATCATTTTTAAAACGTTGATTTACCTAGGTTTCGAAAAAAAAAATTGAAAAAATCTCGTGGTAGCTAAACTGCAATTGTTCCGATATTTGACTGTAGAAGAAGTAGGAATTTGAGTGCCATAAATAGATACCTCAGGGCAAGGAGAGAGACGAAGTGTGAATGTTGTGTGGATAGACTTTGACTGGTTAATTTTGAACAGCCACTTCGTATACCAGTCTTCCATAAGGGTTAGGTGATTCTGATGATTGTGTGAGGCTATTTCCGGATTAGAATTTATAGATATTATTGTCTTATCGTCTGCATAATCAGCAACTAAAGTGTTTAGTGTTAGTGTAGTAGGCTGATCAGCAGCATAAATATTATAATTTATAAAGTACAGTTGAGAGTTGTTTAACACCGGCTGAAATATTGGATATAGTTGAGTGTGCATTACCGAATCTAATTTGAAAATTACGGTTGGATAGGTATGATTATATGATAAGGTAGTAAAATGAATTATATACCTAAGATAGGTATAACAGCGGGTGCCGTAAATAATATGAAGTACTCAAGTACCTATCTCAGTTATTCAGTTGACGTCATCTGAACAAAAAAAAAATGAATTTCCAACAAATTAATTGTCGAGATCAACGAAAGTTTATTTGTTAGACTCAAAAATAATGCTGGTCGAATACTCGAATACTGCCACAGCAATGGCTATTTGGTGGTATGTCGTGAGACCAATGAGTGTTTTAAAAATTATGACAACAATTATACATTTATGATTATCCAGAATAATTCAAGCGATCAAAATAAAAAAATATAAAAAATATGGTAATAATAAAAAAAATAAAATATAAAAAAATAAAAAATACCAGAGATCTGAGATGTAGGTAAGTGGCGGGCGTCAACTAAACTTGAGTGGCGGGGGTCAACTAGACCAGTACCGTAATTTAAAATATTTATTAAAATGATAATAATAGTTAGGTACCTACTTACCAAATAACAACATAGGCGCAGTTTGGATTAAATTTATGGGGGTGCTAGATTTATATCAACCAAAGTGGTAAATGGGGGATTTTCCCCCCACACCAGGATTTGTTGGTCGGACTTAGTTTTGAAGTATGGCTTTTGGAAATTGGCAATTTTGCGTTTTTTACTCATGAGAGCAACGCTACCGCTACGTTTATCATGTCTTTTTTATCGTTGTGCAGCAAGCGAGTGGCAAACCAACCAACTGCCTAACCAAGGTGGTTTTACACAGCAAATTGGTGGATATTTTTGATTTTTTTTGTCAGAGCGCATCGCTGATTGAACGAGATAAGCTGATTGTGCAAATTGTGATTCCGAAATCATGCATAAGTCGTTAAAAATTTAAAATACGTATAAAAAAAATTGAAATTAATTATAGGCCCTACGCGCGGCATTAAAGTAGTGTTTCGTTCGTGCGTATAAACGTAATAACTCAAACTTTGGATGGCTATAACTTTTAAAATAATGGTTTCCGACAAATTCTGATTGCACCATTGTTCTTAAATAGTTAATATAAGAAAGTTCCAAAGAAAAAAATCGAAAAATTTGCATGGGGTGATATAGTGCATTTGTTTCAAAATGACTATCGAAATATGTGCTATCGATGAGTCAAGAAGTATACTTGTTGAGTATTAATTACTTCAACATTTTAACCAAAACCGGCAACCGCCACTGCTATGGGAGATTCTAAATGTATGAAGTATTAACGGTAGTCAGAAAAAAAAGCCATGCATACAAATTAATGTCTATTTATGACCTTATATTTTTATATATTATACATGATGTTTCTGATTTAAATCACAATAATAATTAATTGTATACAATATTATAATATTTAATTTACGTTTGCCGCTAAAATATTTTAAATTGTATACATAACCTTAATCACACCTTAATTATTGAGTTCTGTTCGAGTATTGTTCTGTGGTTCGAGGTGCCCTAATAAAATAAAAACTCAACTAAAATGCCCTCCCAATTGACCGAGTTGACCGAATTGTGTAGCAAATACACTATATTATTTTATTTAGACATAATTTGGACCGTTGCTGTTAAATAGGGAAGTGTCTCAACCTTATCTTCTAACCGTGAACGAGGCCGTCGCCGTCGTGTCCGTTACGTCTTATCAGCTCTGTGCGGTAGACGGTAGTTATTATGTGACACGCGTAATCTGCTCTAAACCGTCTATACTATATTAATGTTACTATTATATAAACATATTACAGTTAATTCACGTCCGGTGTAGTACAACTTTTACTTTTTACTTTTACGTTCACAGTTTTGCCGTTTACACAGTTACACTCTGTAACCCCTTCGCAAAAGTTTCACTTGCAACAGTTGAATTATATTTTTCACCCTTGAGTTTTCGTGACCGTCCGCCAAGATGTCTCTAGAAGATGTGGAAAACATCAAAAAGCGCATCGAGAACTTCAAAAAGACTTTGATGGAGCTGACCGAAGCGCCGGGCTCTCAAGAAACGGCGGAACACAAGGTCCGTGAGATGTCAGCTGAAGTAGTTGATTCGAACCCGTATAGGTGAGCGTGGCATCCACCATCTGTATCTAGTTGTGATTAATAATATATTTATGACACAACTTTTTTAGCCGGTTAATGGCCCTGCAACGAATGGGCATCGTGAAGAATTACGAGGATATCAGGAAATACACGGTGGTCGTGGTTGGTGTCGGTGGAGTTGGCAGTGTCACCGCAGAGATGCTCACACGTTGCGGCATAGGAAAGGTAGTGCTTGTTAATTAAAAAATTGTGCACCAATTGTTTTTTCTCTCCAACCAATGAGTAACATTAGTACAAATATGTTTTTGGCTGAACCAATTTTGTGCTGTTTGTTTTTTTGATATTTCAACTTTCCATTTTGATACATGAGCATTTTTTTTAATTGACAATGACTAAAAATTGAAAAATCATAAAAAATGCCATTGTACAAACACTGTTAAATTTACTAATATTAAATTTGATTATAGCCCATTTTCCTCTTAATATTAAAGCTAACAACAAATTTCAACATAAATTGACTACCTAGGTATGATGTACGTCTAAGAAAGAAAACAAACATTGTGATGACTTCACTTTAGAGTTTGAATGAAAAGTTTATATTATTCTTTTCAGTTAGTACTGTTCGACTACGACAAAGTAGAACTAGCCAACATGAACCGCCTCTTTTACCAACCATCCCAAGCAGGTCTGAGCAAGGTGACAGCCGCATCAATGACATTGACAAAAATTAATCCAGACGTCAAGATTGAAACATACAATACAAATATCACACTAAGCACCCAATTTGAAGAGTTCTTGAACGTCTTAAAGTATGACTCAAATAATATTTATTTGTGGTATAAAAAATTATTTAATATTTGTTTTGTCTTGAAAAAGGACTGGAGGAATTAATGGTGATCGAGTTGATTTGGTATTAAGCTGCGTAGACAATTACGAAGCCCGAATGACAATTAATGCAGCATGTAATGAATTAGGATTAAAATGGTTTGAATCGGGTGTTAGTGAAAACGCTGTATGTGGACATATTCAGTATATTGTGCCTGGAGAATCTGCTTGCTTTGCGGTAATACATTTGCCATAAAGACCAAAGTGAACATTTTTGTTATTAATTAGCTGTATTATTTTACCATAATTTCTAGTGTGCACCTCCATTGGTTGTCGCTTCAGATATAGATGAAAAAACTTTAAAAAAAGATGGAGTTTGTGCAGCTAGTTTACCAACAACAATGGGTGTTGTTGCAGGATTGCTAGTTCAAAATTCATTAAAGTAATATTTACCATTTCATAATTTGGTGTGCAATACTGATGTGTGGATGTTTTTTTTAGGAAATTACTGGGTTTTGGAACAGTTTCATGGTACTTAGGATATAATGCTTTATCTGATTTCTTCCCAAGCATGATGATTAAACCAAACCCAAATTGTAGTGATAATTTCTGTTTAAAACAACAATCAGAATTTAAAAATAGGGTGAAAGAGGAACCAGAATACACGAATGTAGATCTACCTGAAGATATAGTTACCCATGAAAATAATGAATGGGGTTAGTATTAAAATGCATTATATATCAGCTTATACCTAACTAATTACCATTGGTTTCTTACTAACTATTATAAATATTCAAGGGATATCGTTAGCGGAAGATGAACCAACAGCATCAAATAATACAACAGAACTTGTTGAACTATTAAAAACTGAAAATGTAAATAACAGCACAAAAAGTGATGAAGAATACTTATCCCTGAATGATGGAATAGAATTTGCGTATCCATCTGCTGACCAAACAGCTCCAAATGAAGAATCCTTAGTGAAAGAAACCGAATTAAATGTAGACGATCTTAGAAAACAATTGTCATTGCTATGATTACAGTTTACATTTATAATATATTTTAATTTGCCTCATAAAACCATTTGTAATTAAAATTTTTTTCTTATATAGACCTATGTTAAGTATTTTATATTTGTTCATACATAAATTCCAATTTAAGATACTTAATAATAATTTAACAAAATATGTATTGTATGGTATCATAATAGTTATAAAAAAACAACTTTGTGATACAAATTATGTTTTACTTTTTTCTTTTTTTTTTAACAATTTTTATTGAATATTCAACAGGCAATTTCATTAAATTATAAATCATTATTCCTATATATATATATATATATGTGTGTGTGTAATATATGCATATATATATTATAAATAAAAATAATAATAAATTTAAGTTTATATTTTAATTTTAACTGATGGGCCGCTTAATTAAGTTGAGCCATGATAACGGTCATCTTTTAATAATTATAAATAATACAGAATTAAAAAAAAAAAACAAAAGTTAATAAGAAACGGTACACAATTTTGAACATGTGCTTTTAGCAGTTTATTATAATAGCGTACTGTAAAATATAATAAATATCATTAAAAAAAATCATAATTAAGTAAAAAAAATTAAATAAGAGACTCTATTAGTAAGCTTCATCATCATCGTGATTGTTAGTATCAACCTCTTCTGGAGCAGCAAATCCTTCCTAAAATACAATAAATAATCATTTTTTTTAGAATAGTAGATTTTTAATAGTTAATCATTATATTAAATATTGTACATGTCTAATGATAAAGTTAAACTATGTAAGTATGTAAGCGTATTATTATTATTGACATAATTAGGCATTGAAAATATTATAACCACAGCGATAACAATACACCAACAAATCTGTGACATAATTTCTGAAAGGCGGGGGGGGGGGGGGGGGTCCAAAAAAGAAAACAGCTAAATGTGAGGGGAAAATTGGAAAATCCCCCACTCTTTCAAAACTTTAGTTAGGTAGTACAATATTTAACAATAAGAAACGATGAATATAACATTTGAATTGATTCAAAATTCACATCAAAGATTATTGTCTCCAAAGCCAATGGGAGAGGGATCTAATCCCCACATCCCCCTTGTATACTCCACTACACCAAGCTCAAGATTGTTAAAATATTTATTATTTATAAATAATATAGATACTAATTCTAAAATTTGGAACTCACTTCTAGAGACTATAATGTATAAATTTACTTTCTTTTTCTTTTTTAAACAATTCTCAACCTCAACTCCCTTTACCATAAAAAAAAAAAATACCGACACATAAAATATGTGTTTTTAAAAATTTGATCTTTGGTTACATAATTATGGAAATTTACCAAAAAAGGTTCAACCACCTCTGATACAGTACGTCAAGCATTTGTTATTAAATAGGTTTTAAAATTTACCATACAAGAAAAAAATCATAGAAATTTAAAAATGTATACAGTGTTCACAAAAACAGGGTAACTGTATAATTAAAATACCTATATTACTCAGTACACTATACATATTTTTAAATCATTTTTGCATGATATTAAATTATTGGACCATCAATCTCTCGCAGACAGATCTAAAATATTTATAGGGTTCTGAGTAATATAGGTAATTGAGTTGTTGAGTGTACCCAGCTTTTGAGAAAAAAATGTATATCCGTTGAATGTGTTTAATTTAAAATACAACAAAATGCACTCTTGAAAGCATATAATTTATTGATTTAGGAAAGTTAACATTTATTGAAGAGTAGGGGAACAATTATTGCGCCTTGTGGTACGCCTGCTTTTATTTCAATAGGAGAGGAAAAGGAAGAACCTACACGTACTAACCGATCTTCGAGGGAGGATTTGAGGATCAGATAGTAATGTATTTTTTTAAATGTGTAAATTTTGCTAAAGAACCCCTAAACTAATAACTATCTGTTGTTAAATATATTATTGGTTAAAATTTGTCAATTTTATAGTTTTTAATATTAATATTATTATAAATTTGACATTTATCTAGTTTCTTAATGTTTGAAATTTTCTATGCATCTTGTATGACTGTAATTTCGAAATCTAATATCCCTAGTACTTTTATTTTTAAATTTAATACTAATTTGTAACATTGAAAATAGTCTTAACATGTAATTATAGCATTCAATAAAATATTAAATTGAAGTTGAACCAATGGTAACCCGACCACATAGCATTATAATACTTCAAACTACAATAATCACTGAAGAATATGTTTGAAATTCTTCAAACAAAAAATTGAATAACACAAATACAAAAAAATTACTTCTTCAGAAAATGGATCAAAATTATATTATACAAATATTCACTTGATAGTTAGATTGAGCTGTTAAAAATCGTACTAATACATGTTATTGTATTGTGTCTTGGTGGTTTTAATTAGAATGAAATTGTTAGGTTAAATATATTTTTGGAATGTCCAGTGACAATGTTTTTAGCCAACATTAAGTACAAAATTCTTTTAACAAAATAATTGAAAAGTAGCCAAAAGAAGTCCCTAAAAATCTATTAGTGAATACTTGATTTATTTATAATAAATTACAAAATTTAAAATATAGAAGATATTCAAAGTATGATTAAACATTATCAGTACATAACCTTAAGATTATTTAGCATTCATTAACAAGTAATTGTATAAAATAAATACCCATTTACATACCTCAGTGGCATAAAGAATTTCCAATACTTTAGAGAATAATGGATGTTCACTTTCTTGTTCCTGGCATATCACCTCTATATCACGCAATTTACCAAAATAGAAATCACGTTCTTTTTCCAAACCCTCAACTGTAACTCTCAATTCACTCATCTATAATAAAAATAATTACACATAGAATTTTCGAAATAAAATACAACTATATTATGACTGAACTTGCCTGTCTAGTAAGTTCATCAATTTTATGATCGCCTCTATCACGCTGATTGGCTGGTGCTGCTGGTCTTGTTGTGGGTACACGATTAGACACTAAAAACCAATTTAATAAATTAAATAATAGTAAATACAAAATGTTTTACTATGAGTCAATTTAAGAAAAATAAATTAAAATCAAGCATAAAAAAGCAATAAAATTGGGAATTTGGGATAATTTCGAGTTAAAAATACGAACTATTGCTGTTACTCGCGGGACGGAATAAACGATTTTGGGTGGTGGCATTTCTAGGTGGTACTGCCGCCGATGGCTTTTTGACAGGACCTGCTCTTGCTGCTGCACCGGCTGCTCCCATTCCCTCACCACTGCGCGCACCTACTGGGTCGTAATCATTCATTTGGTAATTGGTGTCAAAAAACTTTTTGAACCATTGCAAAAACTCGAAATTATCCTGAAAACGCCCCTTGACCAGCCTATCTATAGGTACTATCTGCAAAATAAAAATAAAACAAAAGGATGAAGATAAAAATAATAATAATAATAAATATCTAAAAATAAAAATAAATAAAACCATTTTTTTAACTTGTTAAGCTTGTTTTCACAAATATTCAATCACAACAGTTATAAACATGAAGAAAATAAAATTGATGTATTTTAATCAAATAATAAAAAAATTATTGTTAAATTTGTTATTTCTTAACAGCAGAATAGGATATTGGTGATAAATTAAAATTGTACGCTGAAAATACATTAATTATTCAATCTAAAAGAGTATAACAATAATTCCTTAGATTGAATAAAGGCTAGAGAAAACATTACAAGAAATGAGAATAAAATAATTGAAAATATTTAATTTTTTTTAAGAAGTTTACTCAGTTCCAATATTATTTTCATTAAAATGTTATGAGATTCTAAAAATATAGTAAAACGTACATTAATGTTAATACAATTTTACACATGTAATATTATATCCTGTTAAGAAACAAAAATAAAAATAATAATATTCCAAATAATATGCCGAATAAAACTTTAAATACCAACATTCTATCTAAAATATAATTTAACTATGAAGAAAGATTTATACATTCCATGTTTGATGATACTGCTATTATTTTATTATTTTACAAAATAGAATTTTGTAAATAATAACTATAAAAACTATATAAAGTATATTATATTGACATGCAAGAATAAGTATTTTTAAGAAATAAATAAATATAAAACTTTTTCTTTTTGCAAATGAAGATTAAATCTAAGTTTTGAATGTTCACTAATTATAATATTATCCTGACTAATAAACACACAAAAACCGAGCATTTATGAATACCATGTCCATAGGACGGGCTTTTATAAGCACGAGCAGCTTGTGGTACACGATATGGTGGAGGTGCTTGAAATCCACACACTTCTGCTGCACCAGAACCAATCATAACACCACCACGAGCATCAAGGCCATCATAATCACGTCCATCATAATTAGCATCAAAAAACTTTTTGAACCATTGTAAAAATTCAAAATTGTCTTGAAAACGTCCTTTGATTAAGCGGTCAACAGGTATCACCTGTAAAGTAATTTTTTACCATCCCAATTGTGGGTAAATACAAAACCCATACGTAACGTATTATAACACCCAACGTATTATAACTGATACTCAGAATATTATCAAATTATGAAAATTAATAATTAATAAAATATACAATATTATTTCTGCCTATATATTTTAATCTTTAACTTTTCTAGAATAATATAGACTTATTTTAAATCTTAGTAAATTAAATATTTAATAGTTAATTTTTTTATTGCTGACACATTTTTAAATTTTAATTACATTTTCAACATACCTTGTCAACAGCCATCTTTTTAAAAGCCCCTTGAAGTATTTTAAAATTTTGTATATATTCATGTTCAAGATTTGTTCTAAACTTGACTCGTTTCATTTGCACACTACCTATAAAATCAATAATAATAACAATTTAATGAATAAAACATTTTTATAAAAATTTGATATAATCTGGAATCGTAAACTATTTTATGTGATTATGTATATGAGTTTTTTGAATATAATAATAAACACTATAAAGGTATAAGCATACTATAGCCATAATTATTCATAAATGTTTAGTAAATTTCAGTAGGAACTAAATTACGATTTTAATAATGAACTAGATATAAAAAAGTACCATGACAATAACCAATTCTAGGTTTACTATTTAGAGACAAGTTGATGATGCTTTTGTAAGGTCAAATTTATATTTTAACATATAATAATTGAGAGGTACAGTATTAACAGTTACAGTTTATTTAGATATAATTATACAGTAAAAATTAGTTAAATGTACTTGAATTTTTATTATCATTATTTTTATTATTATCATTTTTCTGGCTGATAATGATTTCAACATTGCAGGGCTGCAACTGTGTTCATGTGACCAAAATCATCGATTAAGTTTAAAAATATTTATTGAAGTATAACAATTAACAAATAATAAAAATTTGACATATTATTTTTAGGATATTAGCATTATCATTATAAGCAACAAATAAAACATTTTTAACTTTGTAACTAACTTTTGAACGTATAATACTTATACACTAAAATTAAATAATAAACAATAAAAATTAATTTTTTGATTTTTTAAAAATAAATTGAGATATCAGATTAATTTTCTTTTTTCAATCTTTGTTTGTAGTGATTCAGTCTTAATACTTCTTTTTCGTTCATCATCACAGAGTTTTTTTTAGATTAAGACCTAGTGTAGGTAATAATAGTGAAAAAGGTGACAATTTTATGGAAATAGTGACAAAAAGTCAGAAAAGTGACCGAGTGACAGCCCTCAAACAATATTATTGTTATAAATGAAAATTTGGATACAAAACAGGTGTGAAAAATTTATTAAATATTGAAAAAATGTGTCTATGCACTTACAAAAAATCCTGTGCATTTAGGATGCTCAAATAAAAAAGTTAGGACATTGTTATAATAAACAAAAAAAATGTGCTTCTAACCTATTTTTAATATTTTATAATTAAGATTCACTTTTTTTCAATACTTTAGTCTTAATTCAATGTTTTTTTAAAATGTAAGCATGTTAAGTTTATACAATTCTATCATAAGAATTATGGATTTATAATTTCCACAATAAGTAACTAATCCACCAAATATTTATTAAAAATCCTATCAATATTGTACCGCTTTAAATAAAATTTGTATTAAATAGTGTTAATATAAAAATTACAAGGTAGTAAAAATATTTTTTGTTTAACATTAATGTAATAATATTATCTTTTGAACTGTTTAATGAGTATGGATTTAACGCATTAGATTATATATTATACAAATACCAAACCGTGTGTATTTTTTTGCCCTCCAAGCTACGGTGGACTGAGGCATGTCAAAATTGTATTAAGGAATACTAAATTATACTTGTCAACAGTTATTGTTTTCATTTACAATTTACAATATTGTTGATAGTTTAATAGAGAAAATATATTTTGGTTTATAGGCGAGGTCAGTATATTACATACATGAAGTAGACATACCATTTTAGTTTAATTTACAGAAATACACATTAGTAATAAGATACAAATTATTCTTATTCTAAGGAGGGGCCGTCCAAATTGGGTATTAACCTACAAATTGGTTCGTTAAACATACAATTGGTAGAGCATATAGAAGGATGTGAAATGAAATATTTTGATAGGTATTCTTTACTGTTTAATATACCTTATAGTATACATTTACTTAATAATACCCATATATTATATTAGACATGTGTAACAAAGAAAACAATTGGATCATTATAAATATATGTCCTGCAGTTTGTAATATAATTAATCATACATTTTAATAATACAAATTGAATACCTAAATTAATTATAATGTATTCAATTTATAATTTAGTAATCAAAATGACTTACCAGGGAATAACATATCCATAAATTGACAGTAAGCAGCACCTGAACATAGTTCTTCTATTTTCGTAAAACTTGCAGACAGAGTATCATTTACCCATGCTAACATGTCATGACGACTTAGGTTATCAGATGTCACATTAGTTGAATACACATTTATAGCCATATTTGATAGAGGTTCTAAAATAATATAAAATATTTTTATAATATTAATAATACCAAATAAAGAATAATTTAGTAATGGTTAACCATAACTTCTTTGAAGTTCATTAATACACATATTATAACATTGATTCCATATTAATATTTTAATTAACGGCTATGAGAATATTAAACAGTTTAAAGTATTTAAGTAGGAGATCCAAGATTAATCAATTTCTTAATTGCCTATTAAGTACCTACATGTTATTCTTTAAAAAAACTCCCACTCGTAATTTTAATGGATACTAAAAAACAAGTAGGTAGCTGGTTGGTATTATTTTTTCAGATTGAAACATTTTCGTAGTATAATTTATAGCCTTATAATAATAGGCACTTAAAATATTAAGTTAGGGTAGGTGTATAAACTAAATATTTCTCTTTTGTGTGTCAATTGGTCATATTTTATTTCAGGAACAATTTTGTTTTTAAATTAGCCTAATTTTAAATTTGATTTTTAGTAGGTAAATATGTAAGATATAAATACAAATTTAAATTCCTGAAGACAATAATAGGTATAGTATTAAACAAAATATTGATTCCTCATATATCTATATCCGGAGATAACTAAAAGATATGCAGATACATTTTTTTAATGACTATTAACTATCAATTTAATACATAAGGGTAGGTCCTTAGTGGTTATTGAATCTTTATTAGGTAATAAATAATATTAAATAATATCACTAACAGCAGACACACAATTTATCTTAAGTTTTAACTCTAAATCACGATTAACTATTATGATTTAAAAAAACACGACATGTTGCATCTGACGGTTTCTTAAATTCATGAATTTATAATTTATGAAAATGTACGGTACTTGCACTAATTGGGTAGGCACTGGAACGAGCAATTACCGAACGAGATAACGTAGTTAATATCGAATACAAAATATGGTGACGACTGACGACGACCGTCAGCGTTATAATATCAATTGACGACAAGCGAAATATTACCATATATGCACTATTGAGTGAAACAATCGGCCGATTAGGAGGTAATGCGGATTGCGGGTGACAAACGGATCGGAAAAACCTTGAAAAACGGCATCCAATAGATTTAAGGTTAAAAGCGGCTTGTATGACTATCTATAATCTATATTATCGTAACGGCAACTACTACGATAGCGATGACGATGATAATAATAATAAATTATGATAATAATTAATAGTTATAGTAGTAATCAAAATAGAAACGTCTCTAGTTTTGGTCCTTGGGTGTGTTGAGACGACGAGCGACAATCACCGGCAGGACGGGGCGTCGAACGTTTAACAGCGAAAGATCGGACGTTGAAAAGTGAAGTGTTTGAATCTTTGTCGACGAGCACACGCACGAAAATGTTGTCGTCTGTTTCACGTTCGACAAACAGTTTTGGCTCGAAAGGGGAGGAAAATAACCGTTGCGCAACGGCAACCGATTCGAATTTTAGTATGGTCAGACGCCGGTGTCGCCCGAGAAGAAAATTAAATGCTTTGCTGTGACCACCCCTATACCAGCGGGAAAACGTTATCACACGTCTGAACGTCCGGCGAACGACTTCGTGGGTTGTGGGTATAAGTACTCGATGAGATTTCATTTTTACTAAAAAATTACGACCTTTGCGGTACTCTCGGGAATCCGGCGGGCAACTCCACCACCCCCACCAACATTACGTGGGAGAACGGGAAGGGTATAATGATGTATGCACGGAGTGCAGCAAGCGGGTACGAATAAGGTCATGTCATCGGGCGCCCGCGGGGAGGTACACTGACCGTGCCCAATCGCAGTATAAGGAGAAGTTTCCGTTAAAACGATCGCGTAGATTGATCGTCGTCGATTGACGCCTACTCGGCAATACGAGAGCAGGCGAGCGAGTAAGAGCGCCGAGGACGAAATCAGGAAATTATCACTTACCTGCAGAAACGACGATGCCGTCGAACGCAGTTGCCAGTCTCGTACTTTAATTTATTTATCTTTTGATCGGTGTTCGCCGCGAGTACGATTTCTCAATAATTGTCCGTGTGTTATAAGTGCTGCAGCCGCAGTCAGACTGAGACAGTGAGACACTGAGCGTCGAGTGAGAGTGAGTACTGAGTAGTGTCTGAGTGACTGACGCAAAAAGGAAAAGTGATAACGAAAACTATGCGACGACTGAGGGACAAACGTGAGTCGACGTGACTGGGCGTCCCAAATTCCTGGTCGAAGCACTCGCAGACAGAAGAGTATATTAGTTAATAAATATTAAATAATAAAAATAAAATTAAACGAAAAGTATCGGAATTTTCCCACTCGACGAATCACGTCGGGAGTTCGGGACTCGGGTACCGCGATGACGGGCTCGGCGACGACGACGGCTGCCGATGAGTATTTTTTTTCTTTTTGTGGTAGCCTAAACGACACCAGTTACCAGGTAAGCTACTGATCGCGGGGGACACCTCACCTAAGAAACCGGTCAACAAGCGCGGGTGTCAAAATATTCAACTACTACAACCATGATAGAACCTACAACTCATAATAAAATTATATCCTGAAACGTGATAACATCGATTTTAAGGAGATCAGTTTAGCCAATGTTCAATTCCAAAAATCTTTCGAAAGTGTATATTATGTTGATAACTTTAAAAATGCTTATAAAAAAAAAATTGAGATTAGATGTTTTAATCGTCATTGCTTTTAATTTTCACGATTTTTGTCACAACGATTAAATTGTATTGACATTGATAGAAAACCGTCCGTAAAAATTTCAAAGCAAATCAAAAATATTTTGATAATTTTATTGTGTACCTATTGGTGATTGAAATTGATAAGATGTAACGGGGACCATAGAGTAATATTACTCTATGAACGGGGACGCTGTGTATCATTTATAATTTATATCATGGACTAAGATATACAGGACTGGACACTACAAGGTCGGAGGGTGTGAGGAGTTGACCACGAAATGTAGTACAATAGGCGGAGTTCGGGGGGATATTTTCCTTTTAGCATTACTAGCGCTGTCTTAGTGGATACTTATGGAACTAGAACACATCATACAAATAACAAATTTGTCAAATTTCTAGTTCCATAAGTATCTACTAAGACGGCGGTAGTAATGCTAAAAGCCAAAAAGAAAATATCCCCCCGAACTCCGCCTGTTGTACTACATTTCGTAACCACAATATTCATCTCGTGTCCAGTCGTATATATCTTAGTCCGTGATTTATATTATGTTATTTTACATATTCCCCGTTACAGAACCACTCCCGCCGGCCACCGGTCTGATAATTGATAAGCTTTCGATGGCCAATAGAAAATTAAATTATAAACAACCAGTGAAAATGTCATGTATCCTACTAACTGACTACGACCATTTGTTTTATAGAACACTAAAAACGTGTGATACTGTTTGTTTGTGAGACAGTGGTGCGGTGGTACTGTGTTAATGGGCATATTAGGTTTTAGGTGGTCACTGGTCGTTTTTACTCTTCAGACGACTGTGAGTGATTTGCGTTCGTGCCAATCTCGAGTTCATAGTTAGGATAACTTAGATCTTTCTTGGAAAAACAACGTATATAATTTCCTATTTTTGTGTAATACAATGTCTGTTATTAATTATTTTATTCGTACAATCCAACTTTTTAATATTTCATTTTCATATAATGGTAGGTACCTATTATAGATTTGAACAGATATAATAAATATTTATTTGTTTAGCTATTTATTCTATTTTGTTTTGCTTTTAACTTACCTAAATGTATATTGACGCCAAAGTTGTGTCACATACATACTGGCTACTGATATCTGATAAATGTAATAATAATAATTGTATCGTCGTTTTCAGTTTTGGTATAGTAACTATAGTAAGTACTAAGAATTAATAATAAAAGTTAGTATCTAAGTAGGTAATAGCAGGGCCAGCCTTAAGTAAAATCCACCCTAGGCAAATATAATTTACGGTCCCCTTATTCATAAGTAAATTGTTGGGGTGAAAGCATAGACCTATAAAAGAATATAGGTCTTTTATAGGTCTATGAGTGGAAGAGCACGGGATTCATTCCGAATTTGCCTCCCATAAATAGTGCAACCCTAGGCAACTGCATATTTTTCCAAAGTATCGTGTTGGCACTAGTTATTACTGGATACTTCCATACTGCAGTATAGGTAATAATTCCTAGCCACTATATAGGTTTTATTATTTATTTAAAATCGATAAAATTAAGTAAAAACAAAATATAATAAACGTGTTTTTATATAATTTAAATTATATATTATAATTTTGAAACCAACCATCTGTAGGTCCTACGAAAAAAAATTGGGACGCTATATCCTCTACTTGTACATCCACACACCTTCCTGGCCCAAATAATGAAAAAGTATAACCTTATTACCGAGCTCACAGTATATTTCGATTTCCGTGACGTCGCTGAGAAGGGTGACCCAAAATTCGTCAGTCAGTTCTTGAGTGATTTATATGCATAGATATTAGATCCAACGTCGGTTGTGTTAAATCGATTTCGTTATTGACATGACAACGAGATGTCAATGTTTTGGAGCCTTTTTAATTGTTATTTTGTACAGATGTAATTTATTGTCTTTTGCACAGGAACCTATCTTTGACAGTTCGACGTGATGAGTTTCAATATCGCATATTCACATATACCCACGATTTAAGATAGTATACTATATAGGTATATCTTAAATAGTGCATAAACCCAATACAGTTTTTACTAGATGAGTGAATGTGTATGTGTGATTAACTGCAAAACGGTGAAAATGAACTGAAAAGTTAATGTATGAATTAAGAAATCAGAATGATATTGAAAAGACATGATAAATATGAAATAATATATGCGGGGCTCGCGTGTCTCGTTCTCTCGTCACTGAAAAGTGAAAAATATGCGCATTTGCCATTGAGGTGTTCTGTTTGTGTTCTCAGAACCACGCGCTTATTAGGTTATCGCTCAGTTTAGCGGTTCCCGTTCGACATGGAAAAATAATATGTACGTGGCTTGTCCATGACCCGGCAAGTTCATTGTTGATAACACGTACTCGTTTTTGATTACTTGATTTTTTAGTGATAACGTCACGACCACGTAGATGATAGTACAGACTACAGTGCCTTTACACCTCTTGTATTTTGTTACGGCATTCGTTTTGTTACTGAATGTTAATTAATAATTATTTTTGTTGACTGTCGGGCTGTATTTGTCTACCATTCAACGACGGCCAGTCACAACTATTTCATAATAGTGTTTTAGTAGGAAAAAAATCCACTAGTTTCTAAAAATGGCTAAAATCTTAGGAATTGTTTCAAAGTTTTACGATGATTACACGAAGACAACATCGAAAAAACTTAAGATAATCGATGCTTATTTGTTGTACATAATGCTGACTGGAATAGTACAATTTGCATACTGTTGTTTAGTAGGCACATTCCCGTTCAACTCGTTCCTCAGTGGTTTTATTTCATCAGTTAGCTGTTTTGTACTCGGCGGTAAGTAATAACTCCTCGTACCTACATGAATATTATTATTTTTTGTATTTACCTAATTTATAATAAAATATAATGATCAATTGATCAATCATTTATGACACAATAGCTGTAGCTATACATTTTAAATTAACTAGCTGAGTATCCCGGCTTCGTCTGTGTGCAGTTTCTTTTTATCGCAGTATATAGGCTATCTCGATTTTAGTGTACCACAGTTCACGGGAAAATTGGCTTCAGTGTACCTAGCGTTGTTTTAAATTCAACCTAGATGGGTAACCACGAATCGCGGATTGGATTTAGCACTTGTATATATTTTTTAACGTGATTTAAACTACTTACTCAGTACACTTCTAATGTAATCTGCAACCAATAGCAACCATTTATAAACAATAACAAGTTTGTTTCAATTTACAAAGTGATTACCAAGATCTCTCTTGACCACCTCTTCAAAATGCGAGTATCAGAAAATCCTTTTTGATTGCACAGCCCTAGATCATTCGTACATTTAGTAGTTGTTGAGATGTAGCGATAAATGAGTGAGTGAGTGGTATTTGCAGAGCCGCATTTAAGGAGGGGCGCTGGGTACAATTGCCCCGGGCGTCAGTATTTTAGGGGCGCCAAAATTTCGTGGTCAGAAATTTGTTTAATTGTGAATTATTAAAATTTTATAATTTTAATTATTTTAATAACAGTATTATATAATATAATTTAGTGTAATAGTATTGTATATAGTTTAAGTATTATGCTGTTTGAAATGTTTTAATTAATATTTATTTGCAGTTTCATATAATTTTATATTTAATTTCTTCATGAAGTACCTACCTACCTACTTAAATATGTTAAAAAAAACAACTTATATGATGAATTATAAGCAAGGTTTAAGTGACATAAATTCAAATGTATCTTTGCGGAGAGAGGATCAAGCAATTACTAAACAATATTTTTAGTTTAAATTTAAACTTTAAAAAAGCACACATTGTAAAACAAATATTCTTTTCTGTGCTCAAAATCTAAAAGGTTAATGAGAATCTATCTCCCATATTTTTTTGTGGGAGCAATTTTTTTTCACTGGGGCTTAAAGGGCGCCAATTTTTTTTTGTACTGAGGCTCAAAATGTCTAAATGCGGCACTGGGTATTTGGCTTAGTTAGGCTATAGTAAAACCACCCTTAACAGACACCTCTGACTTTTTTTGGTGAACACTAACTTTCTGAATAGCTAACAAAATTTTGGTAGCCAAGAGTGTCCGGTACGGTCCGGTATTTAAAAATTCAACTCCATATGGATTATTTTAAAATTTATTGCATGACATTTATTGATTAAGTCTGTTAAATTCAATAGAATTTTTAGTAAAATAATTATTTCCCTTTAATATAATATAATAATTATAATATAATTTTTTATTTACAAAACCTTAGATGTCATTACTTCACATTATTTTGTCTGTTTAATGATTATTTATAAAATAACTTTTCTTATTGTTTTAAAATCTTTTTTTTTGTTATAGTATGTTTACGATTACAAGCAAATCCGCAGAACAAAGCACAATTCAGCGATATAAGTCCAGAACGTGGTTTTGCTGATTTTATTTTTGCACATATTGTGCTTCACTTAACTATTGTAAACTTTATAGGTTAATTTTAGAATTAAGGTTCAAATTTATAATGCATTGTACTGCTCCATTTTTATTTCTAAATATATTTTGTGTAAATAAAGGATTAAATAAATATAATTTATACTTATACACATATTTATGCTTATTTTTATTCTTCGTAAAAAATAATAATTTTAATATAATTTTTACATTTTTAACTTATTCAAACATATTATAGTATACTAAAAACTAAACTATTTATCTAATAATTAAAATGTTTAAAACTTATGTAATAGGACTTACAATTTGACTAGGATCTGAATGTTAACACAATTCTGTCAATACATACAATTACTTAAGTACATAAAATATTTTAGGTAATAACTTATTGAAATGTAGAGGTGATAAGAAGTGCAAAAAAGTCTTCTAATATAGGTTTATCACAAAAAAATATATGTTTTAAATATAAATTACATTAATTTACATGACAGGTCTTGGCTTTATATAATATCTTCCATTTAATTACAAATAATCAATAAAAATAAATATAATATATGTTATAAATGTATGCATGTATTAATAAGAAGAAACAAGGCTCATATTTATACCGTGTTATAAAAAATTATTTAAGAAGTATTCACTTAATAAATGTTCTAAAAAAATTTTGTGACAAAATGTTTGTTGAAACTATAAATTACACTGAGCAATTTTACAATATGTTTTTATAACTTTTTTACATCCATAAATACAATTAAGATTATAATTTTCCCATTTTTAACTGATAAATGCATTAATAATAAATTTAACAATAGTTTAGCAACATTTTGACCCATTGAAAATATTTGCGTTGTAAAATAATCCTAGGTGGGACTTAAATCACAATTGAAGTAGTAAAAGTATAGAATAATATTCAAAACAAATTGTCAAATATCGTACATATTACATTCTTAAAGTCGGAGTCTGAAAACCAATTTTTAAAACTTGATATTTATTAGGAATTACCTATGAATTTAGTTTTAGAATATCCAAATATATAGATGAATGGAAAAATATTTACCTATACCAAAAGTCCAAAAGCAAAGATGTCCGCATTAATTAAATTGTACAGTAAAAAAAAAAAACCACATTTCTTGTTAGTGTTATACAATATTTAAGGGGGTCTACTGAAAGAAGGATATTTAATTCAACATGTATGTATAACTTAGTTTTAGTTCAATGAAAGGTAATAAGTTTATGTGAAAGTATCTCAAAATTCAGGAAATATGTACGAAACTCAAACATTCAATAATGAACAAGTATTTTTCAAACATAAAGAATACATGTACATTAAGAGCAGAGTAGGCATAATCTATGACGTTGGATAACCAACATCAACAATGTTCGCTTGTCTAGAAATCAATTTTTTTTTATGCAGTTATCGTTTTAGAAATACCTTTGAGGAAATTTCAATTATTTGGACAAATAATTATTTTGGACATTTGTGCGGATTGAAATTTTTGAATTGGACATTTAGGTCCTGAACCATCCATGTATTATTTTATATAAATAAAATAATTTATATTAAATTTTTAAATTAAAATCAAATAATGGGTTTCTAATCACAGTCTTAGTTTTCTTTTGTGTGTATGTGTGTGCGTGCCTGTGCCTTTACAATGCCATGATTAGTCAGTTTTTGATGAACCGTCTCCATCTTTGTTCATGTACCTCTGTCTGGCCTTCATAATCATTGCCTGTTTACGAGCTCTTAGCATATTTTCTCTTTCATCAGGTGACTTAGAAAACTGGCTGCCCATACTCACAAGTCCATCTATTGCGGGTTCACTAATATTTGTGTTAAAGCTAAAATAAAATATAAGTTCAATATGTTTAAAAAAAAAAAAGACATTAAAGATTGTAGTTATTATATAATATGTACCTATTCTTGATATACAGGTTATAAACAATATTTGTATATCAAGTATCAATGCATTACCAACAATAATAAATATTTGGCAAAATTAATTTACCTAGAAGGTGTAGGTGTATTGATAAATTGTTCAACGCTGTTAACAATCGGCACAGTTTCGACAATAACAGGTTCCTCCTCTACAAATTGTTGAGGTGCTACCAGTCTACCTTCCAATATGTTATCAATAGTTAAATCAACGGAACGAGTAGTTGATAAATCTTCAATAATCAAATTCATACTAAAATGTGGAAACAATTGTAGAACCTAATATAGAAATAAAACAGCTGGATTATATTACTGAAACAATTTATTTATGAACAAATCTTACTTGTCGAGCCATTGTTTCCATTTGTGAAGTGTGTATTTGACTTGTAGGTGGTCTTAGAGAATGTGTTACTTCAACAGAAAAACTTGGTAACCATGATAAATACCTAGACCCTATAAGTAGAATTAACCAAATATATATTTTTTAATAAGTATTTTGGTATTATTTAATTAAAATATCATTAAAACCGTTATTTATGATTCAGAACTTGTAACCAAAAGTTATAACTACATATTAAGTTTATATGGTTATATTAAAAACTGTTTCCAAAACTGAAATAGTATTCAATTAGTATAGAATAAATCTAAAATATATTACATTTAAATATTTAAAACAAAATTATTAATATCTAAATAATTTAATTTAATTAGTTAACTGTTCAAAATCCAAATAATTGTAGATTACCATCGAAGTGGAAAAAATGATGAGGCATGTGAGTCATGTGAGGATGAGCAAGATTAATCAACATCTCTTGACCAGCATTATTTGTTGGCATACTTTGATTGTGACCTAATGTTAATGACAATCTGCATGTTGGACATGATGGTTCTTGTTCCATCCAAGATTGTAAACATCCATTATGAAATAAATGACCACAAGGCAATTTTCTAGCAGAATCCATTTTTTCCCAGCATATTGCACAGTTATCAGAATTTGTATCTAATTCTTTGGCAGTTGCCATAGGATAACTAAAATATTAATATAATTAATAAATATTTACCATAATAAATAATAATAAACTGGAGGACAACTGGACAAATATTGTATATTTTAAAGTGATAGTTTGCTATTGAAAGTCGAATAGTTTACCCTGACAAAATGTTATTAAATTTCGGATAGGTATGTAAGTATGCTGTAGGTAAATTTCTATTATTTTACTAAAAAACTCAATAGATAATTCAAAGTATTTATACCTCACATTAGAATTTAAAAATTAAAAAATATAAATCATACAATATCAATTCATTATAATATGACAATGTTTCAGTGGCGGATCCAGGCCTTAATTTTGAGAGGAGCAAAAGTACAAAAAGTTCCAAAATTGACTTCAAAATTGGCTAAACACAGTGTAAAACAAAGGAAAACTAGTCATTTGGGGGGGGGGCAAATGCCCCATTTGCCCTTCTCCACCACTGCAATGTTTATACATTCAGTATTTTAATTCTTTAATTTATTAATTACTTAAATACACATTTTTTTTTGAATTAATAATTAGGTGTATATATCAATACATTACTCCTGTATGAAATAAGAATACCTTAAAACGTTATTTATTTAACCTTTTTGTTCATCAATTATTTCTATTGTGACTTGTGGATCAATAATATTCCAAACTTTCTTTCCTCCCATTCCATATTAACTATTTAGTATTTACTTACAAATTTCATAATATAAGTAAACATTTTTAGTATGCATAGGCTCATTTGAATTTTATGCTATACAAATAATTTGATTATTAGGTGTAATATAGGGCAATATTATTACATCCAATATTATATTATTATGTATAATATAAAATATTTTTATACCTATATAATATGTATTTTATAATTTATTCTTTGCTTAAAATATATTGTTTATGCTAATTTAAACTATTTAAACTAACAAACACAAGGTTATTAAAGCAAAAGGATGAATAATTCAAGACCATTTTATTCAAATTCAAATTTACCATTGCCTACTTGCCTCCTAAGAAAATATATACCCCATTAAGGAGGTTGGAGCATAGCATATTTTAAGGAGTAATAGTTAGACTGTTCACATTACACGTAAATTTGAATTGTGTTATTGTGTGGGTCAGTAGCATATATTTAGGATTTTTCTCATAACGATGGGGGGATATAAAGATTTTAATAGACATATTCAATATCCATATAATATATTCATATTGTATAGTGTACACAATTTGGTTCTCAGGGGTGAAGGGGATATGACCCCCATAGATATGCCACTGGTGTGAGAAGTAAATTAATATTTCTGTGAACATTTCTATACATGTACCTTATCCATCAATTAGGTAATTGCCGTAGTAGATTGTCTACAATTCCAAGAACATTCTCACACATACACAGGTTACCAAATATAGTTTTTAAATTTTCTGTTTTTAAAATCAATACAACACTGCTAAAAGACAAAGATTTATTTTGTTACTTACAGTTGCCAGATTTAAATTTTTAAAAAAGATCTGTATTTGATAGCTATCTTACTAGGTTATGTAGGAAAAATAATTAATGTCTATTATAAGTTATAACTGTTTATATGTATTAAAAATAAAAATACTTTAATGGTATTTAAAAGTTTTTTTTTTTTAACCATATTGAATACAAAAATCAAAAATGTATTTCTTACATAACCTAGAACAAGGGATGATGAATTTATACGTATATTTAAACCAATAATCGGACATCGGGAAATACGTAAACTTATCTTCTACTTGTTGGTCTAAAACAATAAAAAATATGTTGTGCTCCAACCACCTTAATAAATGTATTAGTGGCAAATGTAAATAGTTTCACTGTTTTTCACATAACATTATAATGACTAATAGATAACCAGATTCATATCAATATATTATTAATGATTCATTAATTCATTAATACCATTTACTTTAAATATTATACAAAACAACATCAGAACCTGAAATATTATTATTTTACTAGGTACTAATAAAATTAATATTTAATGTACATGATTATCAATAGTTACTATTATAATATTAAGGATTAATAAATGTTTGATACTGTTTTTATATATTCATGAAACAATTATAGAAAATATTATTTATAGCTATAGATTTTATTTCTATAAAAATACAGTTAGATTATAATATTTTTAAAGAATTAAGTTTTAAATGTTATCTTTATTTCAGTAATGAATCATAACAAACATATTAATAAAATATAGAAAGATCTATCATTTTATTAATACAACATATTAAGTTATATTTTCTGTAATGTGAGATTGATGGAGACACTTATTTATTTTATTTTTATAAGTCTATACCTAACTTACTTTTTTTCTAGATGAGAATGGACCCAAAGAAAATTCTTATGTTTTTGTAGTCGTTTTTGAATATCACTGATCAGTTGTCTCATATGCATAAATATTACAAAACCAGCCATAGTTAAATATGAACTGGTCCATATAATAGCATGTGAATAATGAAGGATCTCCATCACACGTATACCGAGATCCAAACCTAATTCTGCGTAGTAAATCAATTTACCAGGACTAGTTGTATGGTTTATAGAATTTCGATGAAAAAGTTGGATATAATGTCGGAGAAATATATGGACAATACTTCCAGCCAACATCAGGCACTGTAAAAAGTATTGATGATAAAAAAAATTAATGCAGGTAAATAAAATAAAAATAAATTGATTAATGACAAAAAATATTATTACCTCTATGACCATAAAAGCAAATATATGTTTTGATAGTGTGAGGCCAACAAGGTATGCAAAATTCAACAGCAACAAAGAAAATATAAATCCAATAGATAAAAGTACAGACATATGAATATATTTCCAGTTCACTCTAGCTCCAGTACCCATAGACATCCACATCTATAACAAAATATACAACTTTCAAGGGGTATTTTTATAGCTTAAGCCTTAAGGTACCTATACTATCCATAGACCTATTAACATTCATAAATTAACCTTATGATACTATAATATTATGATGCTGGCCAGTCACTTCATCACAGTACACATTGTAAAATTAAGGGGATTCGATACCGCAATTTTCTGTTTTTGTCTAACACACAATAGTATTGTACATAGTATAATATTACATAGTATTGTAGACGTGTTTTTTGCAAAACATCCCAATTGATCTATTGAAGCGATAAGATTTCTGAAAACAGATTTGAATTTTTCGTCAAGTCTACTTGAAATCGACTTTCCCACATTTTTGATTTTAACTTCTCCAATAATTGAAATAACAGAATTTTTAAATACTCTTTTTGAATATAACATTTTCAAAAATTCGGGGGATAATATCAAAAATGTGGGAAAGTTGATTTCAAGTAACTTTATGAAAAATTCAAATCTGTTTTCAGAATTCTTATCGCTTCATTGGATCAATTAGTATGTTTGGCAAAAAACACGTCTAAAATACTATGTCGAGCGTGTATTAGACAAAAACAGAAAATCACGGTATCGAATCCCCTTCATGACAACTTTTTTGAAACATTTAAACTTCATCACACCTGCTATAGAAGTCTGGCTAGTAGCCACCTATAGCTAAATATATATGAGGAATATGGATATCAAAAAATCACTTAATATTATCGTGTGACCTGGATATAATAGCCAATAAGTCAATATCATAACTCTATTTTTTAATTAATAAAAACCTAAAGTCAAGTTAATAAACAATATTAATAAAACTTGTGCAGATGCCAAATATAAATTACTTCATATAAGTTTCCTAGTACACAGGAGTCTAAGCTGTTTAAAAAAATAGCTTAAAAGAAACAATTTAGGTACGTGTTTAAATGTATATACAATATACTTTTTGAATTCGAATATAAAGTAATGTAAAAATATGCTTATTGTTTTAATGTTATTTTAAAACCTTACTGAATTTATCATTATTAAAAAATCAGTGATGAATATAATTTGTATAATTAAAAGAATTACCAAACACATTATCATCACTTGACATAAAAGAATAGGAGGTATGCAAATGCATTAAATACTAAATAGTCATTTTCCCGGAGAAACAATTCAGTTTTAAACAAAAATATTTACATAGTACAACTTTACTTTACATAAATATAAATATAATTCTATAGTATTCATAATCAATGATTTTTTATTTTTATTTTTAAGATCTGTATGATGATTTAATTATTTAAGTTTAAAATAATGTGAGCAAGGGTTTCTTAAAGTAATACAGTAAGCGCTAAATTATAAAATACAGGAAAGTAATAATACGTCTAGAGCAGTGAATGCCTGTGTTTGGAAGGAACGGATTTCTGGAACGAATTCCTTTTTGAAGAATTGACAGTTGGACAAATTCCTTTTTATAAAAATGAAAGAGTTCTTTTTTTCAAGAAAAAATAAAAAATTTTTTGTTCCTTTCTAGTTCCAACAATTTACACAGATATATAAATAATTGAAATTAAGATATGTATATATTTTTTTAATGTGTATAATGTATATTGGCAATTAGTGATCGTTAGCAAGTATTGACATTAATCTTTACTCATTAGTCATTAGTTACTTTATTATAATTTCTCATAAGTTATAAGTTAAAATGTATATAGAAATTAGTACCTATATATAATATAATTATTTATAACAACAAATTATTTATAACACAGTCTACATACATCGGCCAACAATTTTATTATGAAGAAAATCTCAAAATAGAATAAATTATAAAATATTTTTTTTTTTTTTAATTCAACAAAAATTTTATTTACAATCTATATTTACATGTAGTACAATAAGTAAATGGGATGTGGGTTAATCAACGGGATGGGTAAGTCACTCAATGGTGGCACCCCATTGGTTTATATTATAATTGAAAATTAAAGAAGTATGCATATGAAAAAAAAAAACATTAATGATTAATTAAGAATTTTTATTTTATTTGAAAATAAAAAAGGAACTTGTTTATTTTCCAAAGAAATAAATTCTATTTTTTTTAAGGAACAAGTAACGGAACAAATTCCTTTTTATAAGGAACTTGCCTAACAGTGGTAAATGGTATAAATGTTTTGGATGTAATAGTACGTTTGGAGCAGTGAATGGGTTAAATAATAGTTACTAATAATAGCATAATTGGTAAATTAGATAAATAATGATCAGAAACAAATATACATTTAAGTTGTATAGGGTAATAAGCATTGGTAATTTTCTCCAATGTACTGTTTAGCAGACTTTTAGAATCTTTAGAAATTTCTTAAATATATTATACAACAATAATTGATATGTGAATAATTAATAAGTTACCTAATATTCTAAATTTATTATACATAGGTTTATTAGAAAAGTTCTTGTATACCATTTACAAATGATGTTAATAATATTGTTTTTAAGAATTTTTACAACAAGGATAGCACAGGAATTTTTTTTTTGAATATAATGATATCAAAATATAATTTTAAACTGGATATTTTATGTCAAGCGTTGTTATTCAGTACTGTAATAGAAAACTCAAAAATTAAATTTATTGGTTATAAGTATAATAGCTAGGTGACAACAGACAAAATAATATATTTAACTTACTACAGTAATAAATAAATATTTAAATTTTTAAGTACAAACAATAGATTAAAAATATAATGTTCCAGTTCCCGCACTTATCAAGGTTAAGAACAATCTAAAATATTTGATAGAAATTAGTCTGTTAAAATATATAAGCAAACAAAACATATAAATTATTTTTGCATAAATATTTAACAATTGTTTGATATAACCACTGAACTGTCATAAACAGTTGAAAAAGTTTTAGACTGATTCAATTATTTTCATTGAATATTTATTTTTATTAATGTGAAATAAGGATAGCTAAATATTCATCATTTAAAAATAAATGAAGACAAATTATGATTCAAGCATAAAAATTAATACACCTAACTATTTTAGAATACTGAACAATAATTATATTAATTTAGGGCCAGGTAATTTATTCAATATTTACTAACTAGTATAATGACCGACCATAATATCAGGAGCAACCCCTCTCCTCAAGTAATATTGTAGTCTTCAAGAAATGATAAAACTGTGAAAGTGTGAAGCACAATTTTTTATTACATTTTGTGTATGGGTTGATGGAGAAAAAATAATATTTTACAATTTTTAATAATATTATAAAATTATAAATTATAATCTTAAAATGTATAGAGGTTATGGACTATAGGTACATAATGGTTAATATTTCAAGTCATACCAATATTTAGTAGTAATTTCAATGAAAAATAATGTGGTTTCAAATTATTATGTGTATAAATTAAGTTATATTATATTACATTTAAATTGCTTAAAAAATCAAAAAACTTTTTATTGAGTTATTTAAATAAACGTTTTATAATCTCTTTAAACGTTATAATATTGCAATGAATAATGATTTAAGATTTAAAATTAACAGAAATATACCATATCCCATATTATCACATTATGATAATTGCATTGTATATTTGTATAATTGTATAATTGTATACATATACAATTATAAGGAAATTAATATAATTATTTAATTGTAATAAAATTATTTATTATAGATTATATGGTTTTATATTTTCATATGGTTTAATAGGTACATGGTTAAAAGTGGTTAAAATAAGGGATTAAATGACAACTTGTTTTTATAAGTATTTTGAATACATATATTAATTTTAGTCAATTTCTTTACCTAAAGAGTAATAAGTTAACATTAAACCCTCTATAAAAACAATTTGAAAATGTATAAATATTAATATTTTTTCTAACTTCACCTTTCTTGGTGATTTAATAATTTATATTTATGAACTAGGAAAGATAAAATGTAGAATTTAAACCTATTTATCTATCCTCGGATAATCATATTTTGTATCGTATCATTCCATTGATCAGAACAACTGCCAAAACAATACAAACCTATGATAAAAATATCCATCCTAATTCTAACTTGTATGCATGGGTACGAAATGTATCAAATCTATCATACATACTAATATACTATTCAGGGCCGGCGGAAGGCACAGGCAACACAGGCCTATGCCTGGGGCGGCATTATGGAAGAGGCGGCATTTCCTTGATAGTAGGAAGGACCGTATTTAGAATAACATAAATATGTTGCTACTTAGGCTAACGCAAAAACCAAAAACCGTTTTTAAAATACCAATGATTTAATTAATATAAATTAAATAAATTTAGTTTTGGTTGGGACGGTTTATTTAAAAGTACAAATGTATAATACACCGAAATAAAATGTAGATAACGTATAACATTAATTGATTTTTCCCCGAAATGACGAAGTCGCGGTGGTCGAAAAGTCGTTCTGAAGCCCAAGGAATTTAAAAAAAAATATCCGACTTTAAATTTGTGATGTGTTTAGTAATATGGTATGATATTTTATATGAAATTAATATTTCGAGCAAACTTCTCCAATCACCCTCGCTTGATCTATCAGAAGCTACTAACCAATTAACACGTTGGCTGACGCATGGCCGCCGGCGCCCCAAGTAATTTCTGAGCGTGGTGGGCCATACTATTTTCACATAATTTATCGTAAATGTTTACGTTTGTAAAAATAGCTCTAATTTTCCGATTTTGATAAAATTTATACAGTTTTAATCAGTAAACCTTGTATAATAATATAAAATGAAGAAATGTCTTGGGTCGCCGGCTGGCAAGTGGCCTAAAAATGATATGACTTTATATAATGGGCCACTGTTGGTCGCCGGCGGTCTTGTTCTAAACATAAACTTAGCTGGTATTTTTTTTTGCTTATCATAATTTACACTATTATAGTTTCTGTGGCGATAAATCGATTATTCAATGTCTGTCGTCTTTAGTTTTCGTTTTCATTGTGACCGTTGTTGATAGTGTTAAATTCCTTTTGTGTTTTATTTTTCAAATAAAATTAAACTTTTTACAAAATGGATGAAGATATGATAATAGATTATATATTAATTAAACGACTCTTTTAGTGAAAGTATTGACGATAGTGATGCTGATCCGTTATTTCAAATTGAAAATGAAAGTAATAGTGACTTTGATGATTCTACTGAAGACGAGGACGAGGAGGATCATTCAATTTCTGTACATAATAATGTTCAACCACTTCAACCCGCCTGGAATATAGTTTCAGGTAATAATCAAAAACATTTCAACTTTATTGGAAACTCTGGACCCTTAGTTATATTAGACGAAGGTAGTGGGCCTATAGATTTTTTCAAATTATTTCTTACCGATGAAATAATTCAACTCATGGTTATTGAAACAAATAGAAATGCTCAACAAATGTTAAGTTCACAAAGAATATCAAGGGGTAGTAGATTTTCGTCTTGGGTACCAATAACCAAGGAAGACATCGAACATTTTTTGGGTCTTTTGTTATGGATGGGACTAGTGAAAATGCCATCATTGTCCGACTATTGTGAACAAAGCAGAACGTTACCAAAACAAAGTTGCATCAAAAACTATGAGTAGAAATAAATTTGAGCTTATTCTACGATTTTGGCATTTTGAAAATAATGATTCTGCAGATAAAACAGACCGATTGTATAAAATTAGAAAATTATTAAATATAGCAAATGATATATTTAAAAATGTGCACCAACCTGGGGAAATAATAGCTGTTGACGAATCAATGATACCTTATCGTGGCAGACTCAAATTTCGACAATATATTCCGAACAAAACTCATAAATATGGCGTTAAATTTTTTAAAGTGTGTGTAATGATTAGGGCACGGATGATGTTGCATTTGCAACTTTTTTTCTACTTTTTCAATTAATTGCTAAGTAAGTTTTAAATACGTTTCATGTAAGTACGAATTCAAATCTAAAAGTTTTAAGTGCAATTTTTTGCAATTTTTGGGATTTTTTTCAATTTTATTGCAATTTTGTCGAATTTACTCATTTATACAACTATTTTAGCAATATTAAAACTTATATATGACTTAAAACCATTATTAAAATCAATGATATACTAACTGGACAAAGAAAATCGTTCGATGGTTTACCCGAAGACTTAACAGTAAGCGATTTATCTTATTTTAAATACGCTCCGCTTACATCAACCGACGTAGAATGAAGTTTTTCGAGATATAAGAACTTACTAGCTCCAAATCGAAGAGGGTTTGATTTCGAAAATTTAAAACAAACACTTATAGTACAGTGCAATGATGTATATAATATAATAAATTTATAATGGCATGATTATAATGTAATGTATATATTTTTTTTTGAATTATTTAGAATTTTAGATTATAATTTATAAAAGTAAACTTAAAACATTATTATAACAAAACGTTGTTATTTTTTAGTGCAATTTTTAATATTTTTAGAGCAATTTTTGGTATTTTTTAGTGCAATACTGCAATCAATTTTACTATTTTTTTAGTACTACAACATCCGTGCCCTAGTAATGATATTTTATATGAAATTAATATTTTGAGCAAACTTCTCCAATCACCCTCGCTTGATCTATCAGAAACTACTAACCAATTAAACATCACAAAAAAGTTATTGGAAGATTATCGTTCTGAAGAAGGTTTTAAAAAAACATTAAAAACTGCAAAGGAAGTTGCTAAAAAAGTTGGAATTGATGACAAATTTGATAGTTTACAAAGATCGAGACGTAAGGCGATTTCCCGATCCAAAAATTCACTTCAAAGTTAATTTTTTTCATCAAGTTTTGGATACAGGTATTCAGTCAGTAATTGAAAGATTGGATAAGCTATCTAAGCATAACAGTTTATTTTCGTTCTTATATAACATATCAATAATTGAAGATGAAAATGGGTTGTTAAAACACTGCAAGGATCTACAACTTTCTCTCACTTCTAACGACGGTTTAAACACAGATATTAGTGCTGTAGAATTACATCAAGAAATTATCGCATTTAAAAGATGTTGAAGGACTGAAAAAAGTGATCCACGCAAGGTTTTGGAATACATATGTAAAAGGAAAATGGTGGAGCTTTTTCCTAACCTGGTCACAGCCCTTAAGATCTTACTGACATTACCTATAACTGCACCTAGTGCCGAAAGATCATTTTCAAAAATTGAAAATTATTAAAAACTATTTGCGGTCCCAAATATGTCAAATGCGTTTAGTTGGTCTGGCAGTTCTTTCTATTGAAAAGGATGTATCAAACAAATTGGACATGGAAGAAATAATAGAAGAGTTTGCAACATTAAAAGCCAGAAAAATAAAATTTATATAAATATAAAAAATGTTGGATTCTTTATTATACCATTTTAATTTTTTTTTAAGTTTAATGTATTTCAATTTCAACAAAAATGTGTACTATTTATATTTCTATAGTTGAATAAAAATATTTTTTTGTGAATTATAAATTATGACTATAGTCTATAACGTATAGGTATACTGCGACTTAAGCCCGAAGTAGACGTAAATATGTTTGAGGATATGGGGGGGCAAGGGGTAAATAGAGGGATCAAAAATGAAAGGGCGGCAAATTTTGATTTTGCCTATGTATACATCTTGTCTAGAGCCGGCCCTGATACTATTGCTCACAAACACTTGAGTATTGGGGATTATCCTATACTAAAATGATCAGTACCAAATCCTTTGATAAGAAATAATAAGAAGTTAATTGTACATTCAAAAAGAATTATTCTTTAACGGCATACCATTTTATTAACTCCACTATGTTAGTATGAGTTGACTTGAAGTTTATTGTCACTCATAACTCATAAGTCATAGCTTTCCAATACTATAATTTCTGAAGTATAACACACTAAAATGTATTCATTTCTCGTTTTTGATAACATAGTACAGATATGTATACACTTACGTCCAGTGACACATACAGCTATGCAAGGTACTGTGTCGTGGGGGGAAGATTAAATGGTTATATAAAATATAAATTGAATTGGTACTATTACATTTCATACAAATATATTATGATTGAAAACAAACTAATATTATATATTAAATACTCATTTAAATATGAAGATTTATGAATAACTAGTAAAAATAAGTTAAAAGTTGATTAATTAATAATAATGTATACTGTATAGTGATAAAAAAAATGATTAAAAGTGAAATTAATCAATGTCATTATTGTTTTTAATACATATATTGACGTCATAACATTTGGACAACTACTTAATTATTCAAACATTACCTAAATTATGAAATTAACTATACATTTTCTTTTTGAACAAATATTAATGTATTAACAAGCAAAACTACTTCAATACACAAAAGAAATACTATAAGTAAGTAGGTAAACTGTATAAGAGAAAACAGATTACCTATAGTACAAAATATGATGTGATATTAATCTAATGTTTTGAATAAAGTAGTGACAAATTCAAATAGAAACATAATCATTTACCTATTCACGAAAAAAACTTATTATTAATATATGTACAATATAAAATCTGTAATCTGTAGGTATATATTATTGTCCGGTCAAAAAGCCTGAAAATGTAATAAAAGGATCCTCATAAGTTGTTAGTATACTATTTTAAAAATATTAAAGATAAGCAAAGGTACAATTTTTTTTCAAGCATTTGAATTTCAAATTTGGTCAAAATTATATATTAAACAAATAATAATGATTTTGATTATTTTGTTGTAATTTAAGATAATTATAGGTGGGTTCTTGAAACTTTTATCATATATAAATATATTATTTTATATTTTTAAATGCAATGTTTTCAGCAATAATTAATTCAACCTACCTTGTTAATAAATAGTAATGGTAAAATAAATTACTTTATATCTTATTAGTTATGATTTATGAGCAATATAAATATATCATAAAATTTACTTGGTAATTTATCATTGAATTCAAATTAACACATACATTACAGTGACTTACTCAATGACGAGGCGAAGAGGTAGGTACACCTACTATAACTACAACAGCAGAGCAGTTTTCCTACTTTTATTAATTTATTTTAGTATTTTACTACCTAAAAAATGCTCTATAATAAAGTACATATGTCTGGGCGTCTGGCTATATCTTTATTAGCCGCATCACCAACCGCACCGCAATAATACAATATTTAATAGCAAATTAGTATAACATATTTATTACAAACTAAAATGTTGCGGGTACGATGTCCTCTAGATGTCGTACACTCGTACCCGCAAGTGTTGTCTCGGTAATAACATAAAATAATAAAATATTAAGTATTAACATACTTACATATTCAAATCGATCTTTACACAAACTGGTCATCAAATGAAGAAATCCTAGAGTAGAATACCAAAATAGCCAAAGAGCAACTTTATCCAATGTATAAGCTTTGAGGATTATAAACATAAAAATGAATTTGTAGATAACCCAGTTCCATAGACGTTCCCGAAATTGTACGTGTTCTACTGGTCTTAAGTTACCAAGAACCAGTGACTGTATAACGGCGCCTATCATCACAATGCTACAAATTGCACCATTACAAAGAACCTGAAAAATATTTAAAAATTAATTATTAAAAGAAACCATCAAAAACGGTCGATAAAACTAAAACACACAAATCTAATTTTGAGAAATAGTAATAAATTATTGTATTAAATGTATTTATTTAAATCGTTGTTCACATCGCGTACTAATAAGTAATAACTAAATAGAAAATACAAGTTTTAAAAACGTCAGAGTACAAGAAACCCAGTGACGTAGCCGGAATTTTTTTCGGGGGGGGGGAGGGGATGCAGACCCTCAGCTCCCCCCTGAAGAAACCAGACCACAGAATTAATTAAATTGTGATCAGACTATCAGAGATGAATGAGATGATAGAATGAAATATAACACATTAATATTTTTATCGGTTTATATATTCAAACAGTTATTAATAGAAATTGATCCTGTCAAATGTCGGTATAAGGTAAACGCTAATAGTATATTATTATAATATATTATTTCCCTGAACTCGATAAAATTCTATACCATACGATATTTCAGTGACGGAAATGACTAATAAAAAATAGTTAATAAGAATAACTATAAATTATAATGAGGGATAAATGATAATTCTAAGCCTGGCACTAGGTAGTTTAAGATAGGTAGATAAAACTATAAAAGGCAAAACAACGGAATGAAATCAATTTATATTAGGTACCTATTTTAATTTTAATTAAGCTCTATAACATAATATTGTTTTCAAACAAAACAATTTCAAAAAATATAAAAAAATTAACTAAATACAAAAATAGTAATATAAAAATAACTTTTCTAGGTCGACAATAACAAATAACAATTTAATAATAAACACACTCAATCTAGATCTAGTTTATATTATGATAATGAACAACATGAATACTAAATACTAAACCCCTAACTTCTATTTTTATAAATATTTAATATTCATATTTATATTTTTGAAAGACATAGTAAACGGGGTGTGAAGAAGTGTGAAAAATCCCAACCCCAACAATTAACTACAATGTCGTACTATTCAATTTCAATGAGCTTATTTAAAATAAAATTTCCAACTTGTATAATTACCAGGCCATTTTGTATTGGTTTTACAATACCCTGATATTGCTGATCAGTGGAGTAATTTTGGATGGGGGGTCAGGGTGGCCATTTGCCCCCCTTGTCATGAGCGGACCGTTGTCGGGGCGGATATGGGCTAGTTTTGGGCCTTCATATAGTAGCTACTAGATAATAGGTATTTAAGTATCCCTCTACATATTATTATGTATTAATTATTTAGTTATTGTTATCTCTCAAAAAGATGAATTACTTTGCTTAATGCTTATGATAGTAACCTTTGATACTAACTAGTAAGTATAAAATGATGTAAGTAGGCTATTTGTATCGACAAATATAAAAATGCAATTGCCATGTAATGCCAATGTAATGTAATAATTGTTAGCGTGCGGTTTTTTTTCAGTTTTATTTTGAACCGGTCAAAAATGTTGCCCCCCCCCCCTCTCAAAAACTGAAATGACGCCACTGTGGCTGTTGGTCAGATAATAATATCATAGACGTATTAATAAATAAATAAATATGTTTATGGATAATAATATTATATATTATGGATAAATATGTCATACAATATGTATGTCAGGCGACGGGCGTAAACAGTCGGGAAAGCAATATTGTTATAGCTATTTATACTTCTGCGGGGCAATGAATGAATATTTTTAAAGCAATGTTGCTAAATAGTAAATACCCTAACCGTCCACCCTTAAATGACGCCGCTAGTGGTTGGTACAGGTTTAGGTTTAAAATAAAATATTTTCCTGAAAACCAAGTTCTACTCTGCAATTTGTTTTCACCGATCGTATTAAAATTAAAATTATCATACCGTACCATCACTATCTGGCGTCGAGCCACTGAGGCCCTCTTTTTAATTTCATATAATATGCAAATACATTTTATATTACTTATAATAATATATTATGAAAAAAATTATTGCTTTTATTCGTGATTTTTTGTCTAATGTCTGATTTTTGCATATTTATTGTTCAATAATGTCAAGGGTATTAATTTGGTTTTTATCGACTAGTGTCTAGTTGACCTTAACAGTTAAAATTACCTCTCTCCTTTAAAAAATTAACGCTTGAGTTCATCAAACTGTGAGTAGTTAAATCATGGATACTATAAATGTAATCCGTTATCTAAATGCTGTCATAACGATTAAATATTTTTTTAAATATTTTATAAGTTTTCTAATTAGGAAACTTTGTTATAAATGTATTGTTGTTTGATGATATATTTTTTAATAATAGTATAATTATTAGTGTACACTGTATAAGTTATATCTTATGTGATAGGGTTATAAAAAAAAATCAATTTAATATTACATTTTAAATTAAATAACAAAAACACATTATGCATGCACAAAATATACTCATAATTAATTATAAAAAATCCATTTGTTCAAATTGTCATTAGACATATCATTACTAAAACAAGCGAATCATCACTAGCCGATATAATATGAAGTGGCCAGTTGTAGGTAATATCATTGATTATGAATAGTGAACACTATAGTATTCATAAACAATATGGTAATAGGTAAAATAAATGTACTGAGATTTGATTATTTAAAATTTAAAGTCAATAACACAATAAATTAAAACCAATGATATCTCTAGATATGAAAATAAAAATACATCAGTTTATTTTTATTTGTGAGAAAACAAACTAAAAATGTATTGAAAATACACAGAATGATATAGGTAGTAGGATTAGTAGGAATCTATATAAAAATGTATTATGAACTGATGATATATCAATAAGCCATTGCTATGTGTTATTTAAATAACTAGTCATAATTGTGATAAATGAGAGTGAAGTAGGATTGAATTCGATGAATCAAACATAAGACAATAATATTGATAATTTATTCATCGTAGGATAATTATGAGGCATAACAAATTTCAAAATTACCCGATGCGAAAATTGTTTTCAATTTCACCATTCCTCTCCATCAACTGCGGATTAATTTTATACATTTTAATGATTAATATTCGTGTACCTAGATTATTATTTAATTTCACTTTCCCCAAAATTTGACTTACTAATATATATTTAGAATAACGATAATATATAGTTAATCGTTTATCTACAACACATATATGGTATATAATATACTACATTTTTTAATTTCATAAGAAAATTTCAAGTATCTATAAAATTACAATTTTACAGTCCTTAAATAATGGGAATACTTGACATTTTTAGGTAACTTCTTCTGCTATGAAAAATAAAAAAATAATACTTAGAAACAATCACACAAAAGACCCACAACTATTAAAAAAGTTTAAAACGAATGATTGACTTCAAAAGTTTGTCCAGAATCTAACTCGAATAAAACATTCAAAAATTAAAAGTCTATGTTTTATTGTTTCAAAAATGTTATGAATTATGATTATCTTTCATTACAAGAAACCAAAGATAATTCCTTAACTTTTTATTCTCATATTTATTTTTTCTAAGAATAAAAATATTGAATAAAATTATAGTGCCTTAAAAAACGCATAATTAAATACCCTTTCTTCATACTGTGAAAGTTTGTGTAATTATATTATTATATTTATAATTTATAAGCAAAAAACAAATACCTACATGGCTAAATTCATGTTTTCCCGATATTACCTGCATGGCTGCATTAAATTAGCAGTCGAATTGTCTCGGTTATCGAATCATTATTTGAAATATCCCCTCCCTCATACAGAAACTAAAAAAATAAATCTCGTGATATGTTTAAAGTTTAAGCAAAATCAATGTAACTCATGTAAGAGCTAGATGCTTCGTCATATTAATTATAAATGCTTTGCTGACAATTTCAATTTCATAAAAATATAAAATCAATGATTTTGAAACAAAAGATTTTTTAAATCTATCTATACTTTAATATTATAAAGAGGGAAGATTTGTATGTTTGTAACGAATAAACTCAAAAAATAATGGACCTATTACAAAAATTCTTTCACCATTAGAATGCTACATTATTCCCGAGTAACATAGCTATATTTATTACTAGAAAAAATTAGCGATTCCTACTAAGACTTCAATAATGTCAATAATATAATGTTTGTATGTACGCGCATATCTCGAAAAGTACTCAACGAATTTTAATACGGTTTTCACTAATAGATCGGTTGAGTCACGACTCACGAGGAAGGTTTTTTTAATGTGTAATTTATTTTGGAAAAAATAATAACAAAAATGTGTCATATAACAACAAAGTGGATGTCACTCTGCTATAAAGGGTTATTGTTTAATGGATGGTATTAAATTTGTGTTCAATAATATTATTGTATACGAAAAACGATTCTGAGCTGAGACGGTTTGTCAATGTGGATATTTTTTATTATATTTATATTACCTATTAATACTTATTATTAATACGAATAATACGGTGGCCTTAAGTTGAATTAATATTATAAAATTACAACAGAATAACTAAAATCGTTATTAGAATTATTCTTGGTTATTTAGTATGTAATTTCGTCCAAGTTTGAACATAAAACAACTATAAAAAATAAACTGTGAGTTCATATTTTTGAGATTTTTTGGTTACAAAATAACCTACTAACGTGGAACCTTGTTTTACATTTTAAATCCTTAGCTATAAAATCACCCACACACAAAAAAAAAAAAAAAAACACATCATTGTAAAACCAATACATTCATCGCTCCGCTCAGAATCTAAAATATCTATAATTAATAATAATATATACATAAATTAATGTTTGTCTGTGTGTCCTTTATGCATTCCTAACGGTTGGACCGATTTTGATCAAATATTTTTTGTGTGTTTGAGTGGTTTCTTGTATGATTTAGATTCACTGTTAGAGGTGCTCAAACAGGGATTTTTTGAGGACATTTTTGTTTATAAATAGTTGCTATTGCCTATTGGATATACTTAAGTAAAATGATAATTAGTATTTTATTTTTATATTGTTCACCATTGGTTAATCAGGCTTCGAGCAGATCAAGCATGCATACAA